GTGATACAGGACGATTGTTGTTCATTCTTTCACCCAACGGACAATTATCTGCATTTACTCCGTAATCCTATACTATTTCATTCGATATTACACTCATCCTTGCTTTAAATAGTAACGAGGTTGATGCAATCCTGAATAAAACAATCGGCATAGCGGTTGGTTCATGGTACAATGTTACCATTCCTGTACCAAAGGAGTATCCCCTCATTTCAACAATACAAGGTACGATTAAGCAAGGATTCTAGGGAATACCGAATGCCCAGGCCGTGGTGTCATGGGGGAATGTTTGAGAGCATTGATTTTCACGTGAAAGTCGTGTTAGAAGGGCAAAATACGGAGTAGAAAAAGAGCAAAGGGGTCATGCACAGAATGCAACTCCAGAATCGGAGAGTCTGGGGCTACCCCGTAGCGTGGCTGGGGAATCGGCTCACCGATGCAGGTGCCGGCAAAGAGAAAAGCCGTCATCTGACTTGCGCCGTGTGGCCACCCCGGATTTGGGAGTTATTATGTGTGGGGTTTGGGGTACTCGTACGCATTGTTTCTGCTTGTTCATTTGATGTACTAGGCTTACTCGTGTGTACAGGAGGGAAAATGACACATGAGCGCGGTGATGTCAGTTTCGGTGTCACGGTCAGCTGGCTGATGTTCTGCGACCTTGACATGTGAAAAGCATGTGGGTGCAAGGTTTGGTTGTGGTGGCTTGTGCTAGTAGTTTGGCGCCGTGGGAACACAGTCATGTATCATCAATTGGTGGAATCGCATGTTGGATTGGTTATCGTTTAGTCTCGCCATAGAATAGAACAAGGAGATGGGCGTTGGGACGGATGAATTATGGGATTAATTACGATGTGAGCTTTGTTGAAGCGCGTCTTGGTTAGTGCATGCTAGCAGCGTGCTGGAACAGATTGCACCTTGGTTTGGGGCGACGATAGCCTCGGCAGTCGCCCATCACGTCAAATATGCCACACAAGACAGTCTTTTGCCGGTAAAAAAGTCATGAGGCTCTCCAGACAAGTACTCTCTACTGTTGTTTTTATATGAATCCGTTTGGAGAGCGCTTCCTTGCGGGTTTCCCTCTTCCAACATGTGTTTCTTCCTGATCCAATGGCAGCCGGATCTTCGGGTATATGCTGGCCGAATGGTCGTGCCCCAGTGGAGGTTTACAAAAGCCTAGGCTCTGATTTGGCAGTGCGCTTGGGGTAGTTTAGTGGGGTGTTGAAGCACTAAAGGCACAACGGAGTACCGATACCGTTGAAAAGACAGCTTATTGTAGGGATCCAGTTGCAAGATTGGGCAGTCCGGGCCGAGATAGAAAATGTCTGGCTCCATGTTTGCTTCTGGCCAAATGGTACGAGTACCAGACATCAAAGTATTGACAGAGGGGCCGCTTCCTGTAGCTGCTGCTTGCGGATGAACGCAAGACCCGGGGAATATAGCCAATGTACAGCTACTCGACGCCTCCCCCGGCCCCAGGCTTCAGTGGGCTGTCGACCGCCTACTCCCCCACTAACAACCAGCAACAACCTCGCCGCGGCCACGCTGCACAAGTACAGGTACGCTGCCAGATTACGGAGTACCTGCTCGGGCGGCTTACCCACCCCAAGGTTGCCTCGGCTCACTACCGCCCTCGGCGTGGAGCTCATGCCCATCCATTCCCTTATTCTTAAACTCCAAAGTCGAACCGCGATCTGGTCCTGGTTCTCTTCTTTTCCTCTTTTCATTCTCCATTCTCTTCCCTTTCTCTCCATCCATCTGTATACCCCCCCTTTCCTCTTTCTCCGCGCGCCGTCTTTCTTTCTGCCCTCATCCACCCCCTCAAAACTTCCACACGTCACAATTATGGCTCCCAGAGTGATTGTCGTTGGTGGCGGCCGTAAGTAGCCCCAGATTGCATCGTCTCCCGCCTGTTCCTTGTGCCGCTGCTCCTTTTCGTCCTCGCGGACGATTCGGGCAGATGCGCGACAGCGGGAAGAGATTTGGGTTTGACCATCAGTTTGCTGACTTTCGCCATTGCAGTTTCTGGTCTGTCTGCCGCTCACACCATCTACCTTGCCGGTGGCAACGTCGTGGTTCTCGACAAGCAGGGTGAGTACCATTCTGAAGAGCGCAATCCTGGGCAGTCCTCGCATCGCAGAAATCGCGAGAGGCCCAAGCAAAAGCTGTATGAAATGCTGACTTTTCTGCTCCAGGTTTCTTCGGTGGTAACTCTACCAAGGCTACCTCCGGTATCAACGGTGCCTTGACCCGCACCCAGGTCGACCACAACATCCGCGACAGCGTCAAGCAGTTCTACGACGATACTCTCAAGTCTGCTCGTGACCAGGCTCGCCCTGACCTCATCAAGGTCCTCACCTACAAGTCCGCTGCTGCCGTTGAGTGGCTGCAGGATGTGTTCAACCTCGACCTGACGCTCGTCTCCCGACTTGGGTAAGTTTTGCTCCCATGGCTTGTTTTGATTACTTTAACTTGCGGACCAATTCGGCTGACAATATGGTTTCCAGTGGTCACTCCCAGCCCCGAACCCACCGAGGCCACGATGCCAAATTCCCCGGTATGGCCATCACCTACGCTCTGATGCAGCGCATCGAGGAGCTTGCCGAGGCCGAGCCCCACCGCGTTGAGATCATCAAGAAGGCCCGCGTTACCAGCCTGAACAAGGAGGGCAACAAGGTCACTGGTGTCACCTATGAGGTGAACGGCGAGACCGCCAGCGTGGATGGCCCCGTCATCCTCGCCACCGGTGGTTACGCCGCCGACTTTGGCGATGGTTCTCTACTCCAGAAGCACCGCCCTGAGCTCATGGGCCTTGCTACCACCAACGGCACCCACGCCACTGGTGATGGTCAGAAGATGATCATGGCTATCGGTGGTAACGGCATCGACATGGACAAGGTCCAGGTCCACCCCACTGGTCTCGTCGACCCCAAGGACCCCGGCAACAAGTGGAAGTTCTTGGCCGCTGAGGCCCTGCGTGGTGAGGGTGGTCTCCTTCTCAACGGCGATGGTGACCGATTCTGCGACGAGCTCGGCCACCGTGATTACGTCTCCGGCATGATGTGGAAGGAGAAGGACAAGGGCAAGTTCCCCATCCGCCTCGTTCTCAACTCCAAGGCCTCCAACGTCCTGGACTTCCACACTCGCCACTACTCTGGCCGTGGCCTCATGAAGAAGATCACTGGTCAGCAGCTCGCCAAGGAGATTGGCTGCACTCCTGAGCACCTCCAGAAGACATTCCAGACCTACAACGCTATTGCCGACGGCAAGCAGAAGGACCCCTGGGGCAAGAAGTTCTTCCACAACCTGCCCGTTGACATCAACGACGACTTCCACGTCGCTCTCATGGAGCCCGTCCTCCACTTCACCATGGGTGGTGTCGAGATCAACGACAAGGCCCAGGTCCTCAACCAGGAGAAGCAGCCTTTCGAGGGTCTCTTTGCCTGTGGTGAGCTGGCTGGTGGTGTCCACGGTGCCAACCGTCTTGGAGGCTCCTCGCTGCTTGGCTGCGTCGTCTACGGCCGTGTTGCCGGTGACAGCGCCAGCAGCTACCTCTTCCAGCACGCCCTCCAGGGCACCGCCGGCGCTGCTCAGCGTCTGGGCCAGATCTCCTTGCACCTCGACCCTTCTGCTCCCGGCAAGCTGACCGTCGAGTGGGCCAACGGCGCCGCTGCCGGCTCCGCCCCCGCTCAGGTCGCCGAGAAGCCTGCCGCTTCTTCGGCCGGTGCCAAGGAGGCTTCCAGCAAGCCCAAGGCCTTCTCTATCCCCGAGAAGGAGTACACCATGGAGGAGATTGCCAAGCACAACACGAAGGACGATCTCTGGGTTGTCGTCAAGGGTGTCGTCCTGGACCTGACCAACTGGCTCGAGGAGCACCCCGGTGGCGTCAACGCCATTCTCAACTTCATGGGCCGTGACGCCACAGAGGAGTTTGAGATGCTGCACGACGACGAGGTCATTCCCAAGTATGCCCCTAGCCAGGTCATTGGCCGCGTCAAGGGACAGAAGGTCACTCTGGAGATCTAAGAAGGGAGATATAAGTGTAATGGCATGTACGAACACATGGGCTCTCTGAGCTGAAAAATTGGGAGAGAAAGAGGGGGGTCAATGATTGGCATCTACGAAACGAGAGATGCGTATACTATTATGATGATTGTCAAGGGGGCAAGCCTCTACTGTGTTTTGCTCACCACGACGGGCCACTAGACTGGCTTTTTACAGGCGCACTGGGCTTGGTTGTTTGATATCTGGTTTTTATGTAGTGTACGGATAGCTATATTTGCATATAAATCAATTGTTTTGATCAATCAACTGGCGTTTCTGGTGTGATTGATTTGTTTCTTGTAGGCATGACGAGTTTCTTTCTGCGGTGGCGACGCTTGGATGTATGAGAACGAGTATGTTGTTTACGATGCAGATACTGAAACTCGGAGTGGCTCTCTTCCTAGGATGGACTGATGATTGTATCGTGGTGTTAGTCGTTTAGATGAGTGTCTCTTCAGGTGAAGTGCAGGTCGAGCCTTTCAGAAGCATTGCAAATATAGGGCCATTCAGGAGATATTGATGAATACGCAGAGGTGAATTCTAGGTGTCATGGTGTTGTGAGCTTCCCCAGGAGATCACGGACCATAGTTGTACCTCTTTGAATGCATTAAGCCATTATCGTATATAATATCCAACTGGAATAATTTCAGATGCTGCTCTAATCAGATTAAAACAAAGGGCTGTTGTAATTCGATTGGACCAGTATCCAACGATGTTATTCTCACGGTAATGTCCAGTCTTGGTCGTAGGTTCGCCTAACCTATAATATATGCCACGTCTCGTGGTGTCGTGCTCAGCATGACGATAATCGACCTAGAGACAAATAGGCCATGAATAAGATCACTTTACAAACGCAGACATAAAAGGCATGTCGCGAGACAACCCCATTCAGAATCCGATCAAGAGACTGATCGCACCCATTTTTAATAATTCCAATTAAACAAGAAACAGCTTATGATGTTTGGAAACTTGATAACGGCGGTAGTATATCTTAAACTACCTTGACTATTCCTATTTTACATACTTTTACACTCTCTTTACTATCATTCTCTCCAAAACAAATAAATCCTAAACCCTGTTCCCACGGTACAATAGCAGTGTGTAGATTATATTGGAGTGGTGCTACTGTCTTTAAGAAGGTAACTGTTGTTCCATAGTGAAACAGCCTGACTTGGGCTGATGCTTTAGAGACTTCAATAAGAATTGCTGCTGTACTGTTCGGAAGTATGACTTCTTCGCCATGCTTATAATATCTCCAGTCAGGCATGGAGCATTTCTTCCCTATCTAGAAATTTATTAGTACAAGCTTCTCCAAAATCAAGTATAACCCTACTTCTTTCTCGCATTGCTGCATAATCTCAGTCTCAGTGACATCTACGGTCACAAGAGATACGATGTGTACCATGAATATTCGGTCAGCCCCCGCGGAACGGAGAATGCACGACTTCCACTACATGTAAGCAAATCCCAAAGCGGAGCAACAACTCCTTTAAAGGGATGACGGGGCCGGCACGTCGATCAGAAAAAGGGAATTACAAGGTTCAAGAGCGATCGAATAGCAGATAAGAGAAGAGAAAGAAAAAAAAAAAACCTTTTGCATGTAAGACTGCGAAGGGGCCTGCATATGGATGGTTTTTTTCGCTCGGCCCCCGAAGGAATCTGGCGATGCGACGCTGGACCACTCCGCTAAACCAACGAGGGGAGGGCGATCTACAGTACAAAAGAAAAGACTGTTGGAATTTGGGTATAGCGGGAAAACGGAGTCATCGGAGAAGCCAAGTTTTGCGAGGGAAAATCAGCTCGACTTTTGGACAGAATGCCATGGGTGGAAGAAGAGAAAGTGTGGTGTGGGCTACATACAGGTATTTACAAGTGACCTTGTACCATCCATCTATGAGACACGCCAAAAGAGTGTGTGACAAACCAGAGACAAGTGAAAGAAAAAAAGGACAGGCACATTCACCGCGGTCGAGAAGAATAAGAATTAGAAAAAAGAGGCACTGGAATTCAAAACACGCCACTTTCACCCCTGGTTTTCTTTCTTCTTCTTTTTTGCTCCTTTTTGGGGGACACACGGCAATTGCATAGCCCGGTGAAAAAAAAAAGCGTTCCAGGCCTTGGCGGAGAGGGAGCGTGAACACGGGACTGGATTCTGGCAAGCCACTATGATGATTCATTGTTTTTTGGCTAATGGGCAGTGACATTCCCAATGGTACGATTCAATTTTTTCTTTCTCGGGTTATTGTATTGGACTCGTATGGTAGGTAAGCATTTGTCTATATTTTACTTTTACTGTCGGTATTCATTTATTTGTATTCATTGGTTCTTCTGCCACCTTCCTCTTACCCCCTCGATCTTCTTAATTAGAGCCCTCTCATGTGCCCCTCCTACAGTAGTTCATCTCTCACTTTGGGAGTGATCTGTCGACACACAGAGTAACATGTTGGTCGAGCGCAATGAAAAAAAAAAAAAAAAAAAAAAACGACGGAAAAACGCCGCCACCACTACACCCCGTGATGGCTGCATGGCAATAACGGCCGCTCGTTCGTCACCGGCAAACCGAATAAATGAGAGAAAAAAAGAAGAGCCGAAAGTGATAATTTTAGGGCCCATCTTCTTGTCCGTTCTGCCTCTGCTTCAGCTCCTCCATCTTATTTTTCATGGGTAGTTCCCGCGATCGGAAGACGAGGGCGTCTTTTAGTTTTGTGTTAGTCGATGCAGGCAACCGGCCCTTTCCCCTTGGAACTAACAGATGGGCTTTTCTCTCTCTCTTTCTAATGATGCTTGCCGGGGCTGGGACGGGAAAAGGGCTGGCTGGGCCATCACAAGTTAGCATCCTCCGTGATGGGTTCACTGGCGCTGGGGAAAAGATGAGTGGGAAATGTAAAGCTTGTACGACTTGATACAAGTTCTGTGGATGCCAGCCCCCCCTCCTCTTCACTCCTCTGCCCCCCTTGGTCGTCACTTGTGCCGTGCCGCTTCTTGGAAATTACGCAAGAGTGCTGCTTAGCCGTGACGCTAGATGGCCGACTCAAGGGGTCTTGGGTTGCAGCTGAAGGTTGGTTTGGTGATGCGAAACTAAGGTCTCGTAGACGCCCATCCCCGTCCCCATGCGGGGTGGGCTCGACGCCGATCCGGGGTCAAAGGTCGAACTGCGTGATCTGTCAAATCGGGTGGGAAGGGAGGCGCATCGTATCTGCTCAGTGGCAAATTGACAAAGATACGAAGAACGAAGAGCTGTATGGAGTACTTGTGAGTCTGCTATTTACTCCGCAGCGTTGCATTCCAGCGCGGCAACAATGGATCACGGCGGCGGTTCCAATCTCTGTTGCATGTTGTTTGATAGAACCCCCCCTTTTTTGTTACCATTTCTTTCTCTAAAGGGTTTCAATCTTGAAAGAATCTCCGATGCTGAGTATTTGGCGTCGGAGATTTGGACCAGAGTGTGACCTCTACCAAAGGTCACGAATTGTATTATAAAACTAATGCTTTTCCTTTCCTTTTTCCTCGGGTGGTGTGCCGTGCTAGGGTAAAAAGATTCCATCAAGTGATGTTAACCACCAAGAAGAAAAGTTGCCGAAGCCTCGGCATCTGAGAGGCCCTTCTCAACCATAACCATGGACGAAACTCGGCGTTGGATCGATGGCTGTACGCTACATACCGTACAGTAGGCCATCCTGCAGTATACAGCCTCCTTTTGCTGCATGTGAAAAGATCAAGTGCCACCAAACCAAAGCAGACTACTAATTCCAAGGCTTGCATCGTGTTACGTGAATGAGACACGACAAGCGAAATAACAAAGACTCAGCTGCGAGTCGGTTGTGTCGTACAAGCGGATTCCATCCATGATGAATAATCCTCATCCGAAGCTGCCGCAACCGCAGGGCCTCAAGTCTATCAAGCCAAACCCATGACAGATTGAATAGGATAAAAGCTCACACTATCAATGGCCCTTTACTCGGCTGGATGAAAACAAGGTTGATTTTTCTGCGTCCAAGGTGCTTCGCAAGGCTAATGCACAGCGCAGTCAGTTTGTACTAGCGGGTGACGGCCCACTCAGTGTAAGAGTGCAGTACATCGATGCAGCACCTGGTTGGGCGTATTGGAAGCGTACCGAAAGCGTCAACACCTATTATTGGATACTTCAACTCTGCTAAACTGTTATACCCATACCTGCTAGGGAGGTAGTTAAATAAAGCCAAGCTTGAGCTTTCTTTCTTAAATCTTATACCGCTAAGGCAAGGACGTCAGTCATGTCGAATGCTTTCGCCCTTTCTGTCGGTCTCCGGCGGGGCTCCTACTACCAGGTATGGAACTTGCACAAGTTCTCGGACGAAAGTGAGAATATAAGTCTACCAATCCCGCTCCCGGCTAAGCATCATAGTATCAAATACCTATGACTAAATTTTAGACCGGCTCAAATCACGGCTGTCGCTCGGTCCCTGGACTTATTGCGGCTTGTGTTCCCCTACCACGCGGCACAGGGAGCTTGTGTCAGCTGCAGGTATTCGATTCCTTCAGCCGTCCAAAGCTGGCAATGACAGGCGCAGGCCACAAGGTCGAGAGCCAAGAATGCTTAGCATTTCAATCAAGTCTCCCTGCACCGTGTCCGGGAAGCCCCGTACTGGGTACCCCATCCCTTGCCCGCGCCAGTACAAGTACGGAGAAGTGACTTGCGCCGCCGCCCGTCTAGCCCGATTCTTACCCCGGACTTGCCCAGCCCGCGCCCAGACCATGCCGAGCCCAGTTGCGGTGGCAAGTATCTGCTAGTCAGGAGTACCGTCTCGCTCCCAGTACCCCAGAGTCGTACACAGTGTGGCGCACTGGACATGTGGCTCGCTGACAATTTTTGACTGAACTGACCCTTATTGAAGATTTTTTGCCCTTCCCCAGATTTTCTCCGCATAATCTGCGTCCCGTTCCTTTATTTTTTTTTTTCTGATGCTACCACGTCTGAGTCAATGCGCACCACAACATCGTCAATCGCAGCCGCAGATGGTGTGGCGTTTGAGGGTATTGATGGTGCAACAGCTATTTTTGCTAGAATATTTCATCTGCCCTTTTTGCGGCTAGGTGTTGCTTGTGGCTTGGGGCTCATCTCAGGGTGAGTTTCTTGCTGAAACCGCGGCCCAACACCAAAAGCCATGGTCTATAACGCCGCAATGCCACTTCGTATAACCGCAGTGCTCGTAAGATGTCATGACTCTGGTATCTGCTGCGTCTACTGTGTCTACAGTACAAACAGCACTATTGTCTGGCCGTGTAAGTCGTGAGCATAGGGTTGATAGATGCCTGGGAGTAGCTCAGTCTCGACGGTCTTGGCATGATGGATCTCGTCTGCGTGCATCGTTCGACTCATTTGGCTGCAAGTTGCCGAGAACAGTTCCAAAGCTGTCCGTCTTCGCACGTGTGCCCTACACTACCTTGACGCTTCCATGCAAACACGTCGTATCGGTTACAAAAGAGATACCTCTGGCCATGGCGGCGTCAGAGGCAGGCCGCCATATGTGGCTTTAGTACCATGGTCCGTACCGAGGCAAAGCCCGGCTGCTAGTCATCGTGTTGAAAAGCACTCAGCCGTACTGTGCCGCACCAAGCCAGGGAATCGAGTTGCTAATAGCAGCTTGTCAGGCGTGCGGGCGGATGCTTGGAGAGAGGGGGCTGCCCTTCAAGGACTGCAGGTTGCGCACCCAAGACCCAAGGAGAAAAGCCACTCAAGCAGGCGGATGCAGCTAGCTGACAGTCAATATCGAAGCAGCCCGTCAGGCAGTTAACCGAAGGTCGACGGCTCTTGGGATTGCATTCACCGCTCCACCCCCATCTGTGTCAGTTGCTGTCCATGAGACTCCCGGAGGCGTTCTGGGCTCTTACAGGACAAGGATCGGACATGGCAGTGCGGCGTTGGGGACAGTCTGGCCAAAAGCGTCGTCGAGAACGACCACGGAGCCTATGCGCCGGAAAGCTGAGGGCCCGATAGTCGGGCAGATTCCATGGGCCAGGCACAGCAGAAGCAGAAGAAAACGCGACAGTCCATGTAGTATAGTAGCGTCATGCTGTTGGACTCGATGTCCTCCCTACTTCGTAACGTGTACCTGCTTTGTTGAACCTAAAGGTGGCATGCCTCGTACTCGGACGAACGAGCAGGCAGCTCCAGCTCTCACAAAACCCACGAGCCGCACTTTGAGCAACTTTTGCTTCGTGCGAGGGACTCGGACTCCTTCACTCGGCCTGGTTTGTAATACGTCGTGAGGCCCTTCTTGCGGCGCGGCGTTTGCGTCCGGACTCCCGAATGCCGACTGACGGGCCAAAAGCCTGGCCCTTGCTAGCAAGAAGATAGTCTCTTCTGCCTCTTCATCTCCTCATCATCATCTCCTTGTGATTCTTCTTTGTGGCTTCAATGACAAGTTTCTCTCCGGGTCTTATTTCTCTCGTAAAAAAGCGCCGGCAGGGGAGGTGGACTCCATTCCTTTGTGGCGGCGAGCGAATCCCCCAACCGGGCATGGTGTAAGCTGAAGGAGGGTGGCGAGCCCCAGCCGAACAAGTGATTAGCCAGCGCAAGCAGCGAATAGACGGCGCCCGGATACTCGCACGAATGGACGCGTACCGAGTACAGGCCTTGTACTTGCGTCGCCGACATGCGTGGGTGGCCGTTGTGTGTCGGAGTTGCGCCTTTGGATGGCCCGATGAGGTACGAGCGGCGTCGAGCACCAAGTATCCAATACCTGCGCTGCGTCTTGTATGTCCAGGTGTGTGTGCGCGTGTGCCTTGAGCGGTGTTCTCAAGTTCGAGGCTCGGCAATGACCAATAGCGCAAGCCATGCGGCCAACTTGGAAGCTGCGAAAGAAGCTTGGCCATCAGTGTAAATGTTAAGGTAATTGATTGATGCCAAACCAACATCAAATCTAATGTCGCATCGCATCGCATCGCATCTGTGCCGTGCCGCCTCGTGCTTGCGAGATCAAACCCACGTTGCGATTCCTTGCAGAGGATGGAAGACGGCTAGAAGCCTGTACGCACGTATGTACATGCCTGTACATGGACTGGACGGCCCGGAACACACCACACGAGGCTTCAGGGCTTCCTCCAGGGCTGCTCCAGGGCTTTCCTTCAGGGCCTTCCTCTCCTGCCCCAGACGGTCCCAGGCCGCTGCAGGGTGGGGCGCACCACGAGGCCAGCCCGGCCAATCAGACGGCGTCAGCGCCATGCTGCTGGTGCTGATCGCTTCCTGTTCGCTTGCTAGCCCTCCCGCCTCCATTGACTTTGAGTCGCCCCGAATCTCACTTTTGCCCACGCGCCGCACCGTTTCTTCCCCTTCCCTTTGCCTTTCCCGCTGCTGTGCTTCTGCCTTTTTGCGCTGCTCACTCGGCTTCATCGACCCAAGCGGCCGCCGCCAAATCTGGATCGCTGCGGTGCTTGCGCGCATCACGTTGCGGCCCACAAAACCCAGTTCCAGCTCGAAGCCTCCCTGTGGACGGGCCAAGATTCAGAGCCCAGGCCGGTTTCAAGGTTCAGGGCCCCCCAAGGCTCGAGGCTGTCGAAACCCGCTTGGCTGTCAAGTCTGGATTCCCATGCCGTAAAAAGCCTCCAAGTCTAGTCCAGCTCACGCTCATCAAATGCTTGCAAACCTCGTCGCCTAAGGCATTGCGCCGCCTGCCTCGCCCCGTGCTTTAACTCGTCTCGTCCTTGTCTGGTGCCTGTCCGCTTACTCAACTTGCTTGTGCGACAGCGCCTCGTTTTGCCCGTCGTCTCTGCTCTAGCACTGTACCGTGCCTCTGCCGTCGCTGTTAGTGCCTGCTCTGGCTACCGTTAGCACCGCCAGTGGTCACACTTTTAGCGCAGTCCGGCCCCAAAGGCCCGCCAGCGTCCCAACCCTTGCCTCTGCTCTTGGTCTCCGCGCCCCCCCATCTTCCACTGAAACGCAGAGAATATTACCCACTCTCGCCCGTGACGATTCCTCGCCGCAGCCTTTTTGCTCGCCTCTCGCTCTCTCATACGACTCGCTGCGAGATCTCATTTCTGATCTTCTGTCAACTCTCGCTCGTCACTCCGCCTCGAAGCGCTATCCCGGCGACCCGCCATCGTCGAATCCTCGCTCGTCCCGCCGTCCGCCTCGACGCGAAAGGGCGTCGCAACGCCTGAAGCCCTGGATTGACTGCTCAAACACCGTCACCATGGCCATCGCCATGGGCTGGCATAAGCCCGACAATGTCGCTGGCTCGTCGGCGCCAGCCATCATGGTCGGCCTCTTTGTCGCTTCTGGTGGATTGCTCTTTGGTTACGATACTGGGTAAGCAGCAGCACCATGTTGTCGCCCGTGAATGCGACCCTCGCCCGCCCCTCGCACCGAACCATTCCGATCTCTTTGTCGTATCTGTTGTCGCCCCATACTGTATTTGTCGTCGAGAAGCGAAAACGTCAACACCATGGCGTGGGATTCCTTTTGTCTGTTGTATTATGGGTGGATTGGTGCGGTTAATGCTGCATCGGGACATGCTGTCTCTTTTTCGTTCGAGGATACCATCCTCTCGCACCACGACAAGGGAATGTGGAACGAAATTTGCAGCCGTCGAGACTTGGGGAGACATCTGGATTGCACTCATTCTCTCAAGATTTTTTTTGTTTTTCTAACATGCACCTTCCTTCTTCGTCATTATATTCGGGCTGTCTTATTCGCCGTCTATTGTCTTGCCAGCATTCAACGCCCATAACTAACTGGCTTTTGTGTCTAGGGCTATCAACGGCATTCTTGCCATGGATGAGTTTAAACAAAAGTTTGGAACATGTAACGATCGAACCGTAAACGACGACATTTGCGCCAAAGACTCGGCCCTCATCGTCGCCATTCTTAGCGTCGGCACCGCTCTTGGATCCCTCCTCGCCGCCCCCCTTGGTGATACTCTCGGACGTCGACGAAGCATGCTCCTCTCTGTAGCCATTTTCTGTATTGGAGCCATCCTGCAAGTCTCTGCTGAGGGATCTGCCGCCTTGTTAGCCGGAAGGTAGGTTTCTCTCCCACATCTTCAACCTTCATCCGCCCCATATACGCTCGGATCTATGCTTGGCCTGTGACTTGGCCCCAAACGTGCACGCGGATACTGACTCCATCTCTCAGGTGCTTGGCTGGCCTCGGTGTTGGTGCCGTGTCAGTCCTCATTCCCTTATATCAGTCCGAAATGGCTCCCAAGTGGATACGTGGTACCCTAGTCTGCGCCTATCAGCTCTCCATCACCATAGGGCTTCTCTCTGCCTCCATCATCAACATCATCACTTCCAGAATCAAATCCCCAGCCGCCTACCGAATCCCCCTTGGACTCCAGCTCGTCCCCGCCCTCATCCTAACCGGAGGTCTCATACTCCTTCCTGAAACTCCCCGGTTTCTAGTTAAAAAAGGCAACAAAGAGGCCGCTGGCCTTTCGCTCAGTCGCCTCCGACGCCTCGATATCACCCACCCAGCCCTTCTCGATGAACTTCAGGAAATCGTCGCCAATCACCAGTACGAACTGACACTAGGCCCGGACTCGTACAAGGAACTCTTCGTAGGCTCCCCTCATCTAGGCCGCCGAACCTTTACCGGATGCGGCATCCAAATGCTTCAACAGCTCACCGGCATCAACTTCATCATGTACTATAGCACCACGTTCTTTGGCGGTTCGGGCGTCGACAGCCCCTACACCAAATCGCTCATCATCCAAATCATCAACTTCGTCTCCACGTTTGTCGGCCTCTTTGTCATAGAGTCCTGGGGTCGACGAAAGTTACTGATAGTCGGCGCCATCGGCATGGCCTGCTGCCAACTGCTCATGGCCTCATTTGCTGCTGCCGCTGGCGAAGGCCTCAAGGAGGCATCTACCACTATACTAATTGTCTTTTGTTCCATCAATATCTTCTTCTTCGCTGCGTCCTGGGGCCCCGTGGCGTGGGTCGTAACGTCGGAGATTTACCCCCTCAAAGTCCGCGCAAAGTCCATGTCCATTTCAACGTTTTCCAACTGGGTGCTCAACTTTGGCATCGGATACAGCACGCCCTTCCTGGTGGGCAGCGGTCCGGGTACGGCTGGCTTTGGCACCAAAATCTTTTTCATATGGGGGGCCTTTTGTATCCTTGCCGTCTTCTTTGTCTGGGCTATGGTGTACGAGACAAGTAAAATCAGCTTGGAGCAGATTGACGAGATGTACGAACGAGTGGATCATGCCTGGAATAGTAAGAGTTTCGAGCCCAGCTGGAGCTTCCAGCAGATACTCGACGAGGGCTGGTCACCCAGCGCCCAGCCTCCACCAGATCATGAACTACAAACGACGACCTCGCAATCAAGCGCCGACACTACCCTGGGCGACTCAAATTCAGTCACCATCCACATGCCCCCCAACGCCCATCTCGGGGACGGCAACGAAATCACGACGGCATCAAACGACAATAAGGAGTCGGTACCGACGATGGCACATGTCGACTTTAGCTATTGAAAGGCGACGCACACAACTTTCCATCTTCTCTTTACTACATGGAGCTGCGTGCCGTGTTCATATCTCGGACACTTCTTTTTTGTTCTCTTCCCTTCTCTTTTCTAATTGTGTAAGAAGGGAAGGCTCTTATTACTCTTTCAGCCTTTCATGTGACATGTGAATTATATCAGCGATGGAGTTTTCGACGCAACGGAGTTTTACGGCGTTTGGGTCTTATTGGTTACCTATTTTGTTTTTTTTTATCACTACTCTTACCAACCCCTCTATTAACGGCTATGGGGGATCTCCAAAGGTACATGACTCCGGGTGCATCAAACTATTTTTGGTTTATTTTATTTTTAGGGAGGTGGATATGGAATACTGGAGGGACTTGGCTAAGGGCACCATTGGGTTTTTGTTTTATTTGGAGCATCTCTGATTGTGCTTAACATGTGGATATCTTGGGAGTTGTGGACGCCAGGAGGGTTCCCCTTTACTTGCCAGCGTCATGGCTTAACTGTGATTTATGGACCATGGGATGCTCTTTTCTTTTCCTTTTCCTTTTGCTCTTTTTGATTTTTATATTTTTACTCGTGTTTCCGCGGGCAAAGACGAACTGGATTATGGATATTGCATACTCTATCTGCGAAATACCCTTGTCCTGTAAAGACAATTTTTTTTTTCTTAGTTTTACGTTTCTTGGCAGCAACCTGGCTTTGAAGAAATATGCGCTTTGACTGTATACCATTTTATCACGCTCTCGGATTTGAAGGGTTTCATTTCAGAGTGGCAGCATTAAAAAAAATTCAGCATGCCTTTATTACAGATATTCTTGCCAAACTTGCAGTTGAACTTGTCTAACGAGAGAGTGAAGCTATACGCAGCTATGTTACGTATCCTCATAGGTGTCTCCTATTCACTCGCATTCGAATGGCTCCCTAGTGTCCCCGTGGCCCCTCCCCATGCCCCCCCTTTTTGGTGATGAATGACGTTTATTCTGTCTTGTAGAACTGTGATGTCTGTTCTCCGGTACGATGTCAATTACCACGAATCTTGGTCCTCAGAAAGACCCTGCATCAGACTTGATCAGTTTGACGGAAGCATCATTCTTTAGCATTCTCCCGTCCTTCACTTACTCATCGACGATATACTCCTCTTCTTCTACAGAAACCCCCTATCCAAGTAAACAAAACCTGCTAGGTTTGCAAATAAAGTAAAAAGGACATATACATGAAAACGTCTCCATTAAACCGCCACGTAGACAAACTTTATCATGACTTCCTACTCAGCCAAAAAGTATCAGTGATTGAACAATAAATTGATGGCCAGGAATCACTTCAGAGGAATATTGATTTGAGCAAACATAGGGAGCGCAGGATATATTCAAATCGACTGAGTGTTGCCCTTGACCTATAAAGCTCGACCTATGCCGTCGTCTTGGAACCTGAGCTATCTGCTCTGCTGGAATAGCAACAGTAAAGGACAGCTTACGACTTTTCAACCCGAAGAACGAACAAGACCAAACACTTTCCAGAAGCTACTACGAAAAATAAAAATAACCATGTCGAATCTCAATAATCGCCAGCGTCTCCCTGCCCTCGATCAAGAGCCAGAGAGATTGCGACCCATTGAGCAGCTTCATCCCGTATTACTCCACATCGTCGAGCGTATGGAAGTGCTACCCCCCGAAGGCAGAGAATCGATGACGCAGACAGAAGTAGCCCACGCAGCCATACTAGCAATATCTATGCTGCCGGAGGATGAACAATCGTACATTGTCTCGCGTATCATGTCCGACGATGAAATCGCCGAGGAAAGACTCCAAAGCCCACAAGTTCAAGACTTGCGGCACCGCGTCCACCTATCGGCGAACGAGATACGGCTTCTGCTGCGAGGCTCCCCGGAGCCAGAGGACGACGGCGAAGAAGTCGAACCCGTAGACGGCTGCATCGTTTGCGCTTCCAAAAGCGATGTGACTCTCGCGTGCGGATGTCACTACTGTGGCCACTGCCTCCGAGAGAATATCCGAGTCGGCCTCCGCTCCGAGGTAGATTTCCCAACAGGCTGTTGCAACAGGCCCTTTGACGAGGCCACAGTCCGTCTCGCCCAGCGTCCGGCACTGGTCCACCTGTTCCGTCAATTGTCGGCCGAATACAGCGTGCAACCAGGGGAGCGGTTGTACTGCCATGACCCAAGCTGCGCATCCTTCATCCCGGCGAGTGCCATCCAGCCGGCCGCCCGTGATGAAGACAATGCCACTGCTATGGGCACATGTCCGTCGTGCCGCAAGGCGACATGTGCTGCTTGTGGCGGTAGATCACACCGAGGCTTGCCGTGTCGAGAGGAGGAGGATGACGAGGCGTTGTTGAATATGATGGACAGCCAGGGGCTCGTGAGCTGCCCTAGGTGCGGCGTCGTGATAGGCTTGAGAGACGGATGTAATCACATGAGGTGAGGACCCCCCTTTTCTTTTTCTTTTTCCTTTGTTCCCAAAACCTGTGGGCTAACCACCAGTTTCCATGTCATAGCTGTCTTTGCGGTGCTGAATTCTGCTATATCTGCGGCCGCGACTGGAGAAGGCGATGCAGTTGCCCTGAATACAACGGCTTCGACATGCGCGTGCCCGTGCGAGAACGGCCAGGCCGCCGGCCCATCTTGCGCGGTGGAAGAGCACATCTAGTTAGCAACGTTGATGGGATCCCCCGGATTCCTCAGCTGCGATATGATCCGGAAGACGAAGTCGCTCTAGCGGCGGTCGATTACGCCCCCATTGGCGCTTCTGTTCCAACGGCAGTTCGAAACCCAGCCCCAAACCGCGCGCAGGAGCCAATCGCAAGGCGCAATGAGGCCGAGCACATGGAGATTCCGGCACACAGAGATGTTCCGCGGCCGCCTCAGCATCGGCAGCACGCTCCGGTTGCCCGTCCAAACAACTTGAACCGGGGTCCCATTGGTCTTCCGCCGATCGCTGCTCTCTTCCCCTTCTTGGAGGAGGAGGAGCCTCCTCTCCCTATCCCTGGCGCTTTTCCTGGCGCTTCTCTCCCTGGTGTTTTCCCTAACCTTTTCCCACCTGTTCTCCCTCCGCTTGTCGGTCACCTTATCCCATACCATCCTCCTGATCACCCGTTCAACAGCCGGCTCCCAGAACTACATCCGCTGGCTGATGGGGATGTAGACCTGGTTGACCATGCGATTGAACAGCTTCGTATCGTTACAGACGCGCTAGAAGATCAACTCGAAGACACCAGACGTCAAAGTATCATGGCCATAAGGGACCTTGAGAGACTGATACGTCAAGACCGAGGGCTAGATATTGTACCGCGTGAGATGGCTCGTCTTTTACAAGAGCATGAAGAATCTCAAGGGGGCGGACACGGTCGAAGACGCAGACGAGGGAGGAGATGAAGGTGACGAGTGTGTGAGTGTGTGAGTGGGCTGCGTATGTTGTAAGAGTAACATGGCTGGTTTTGTCTGCAATATGGGTGATTTCAGAATATGAAAGGTAGCTGTCGAGAATAACGTGAAATAAAAAAAAATTGGACCAACACCTGGTGCGCCGCGCCTATGATTATCAGCTTCTCAGTCATACCAAGGACGAGCGTGACATGCTTACAGCTAATAGATCCTGCCGGTCATTTCGTTATACCTCAATAAATACCTTCAATAATGCGAGTTCCATAGTCTGTAGTTGAGTTGATGCCATCTCCTGGAGCGGTGCTTCAAGAGGGTTCCATACTTCACAACTACCAATACCTCGAGTCTCAACACATAGAAGCATGAAGCTTAGATAGCTAGGTAGGACGAAAAGCGGCAATAAAACGAGGCCAAAAAAGAGACCAAAAAAAAAGAAATTGTTCTCAGAGGACGGAATCGAACCGCCGACTTTTCGATGAGATGCTATCCATTACAGTCGAACGCCATGAACCAACTAGACCACTCCGAGCTCTTGATGCTGCTCCGGCGACACAAACAAGATCAAGAAGCCATCGCAAGATCGGAGAGTGGAGAGCGGGCGAAGAAAAATAGTCGCAATGTGTTGAGAAGAAGAAGAATGGTGTTGCAAAGGTGAAAAGAAAACAATGCACCTGATTACTTGACCAAAAATGAAAATAAGGAAACCCTAGAGGGGAAAAAAACTAAAAGGAAGGAACTGAAAAAAACAATTGAGTTGCAAAAAGAGATGTCAAAAAAAAATGTAACTCTTCTCCGGGGAGAATTGTTCTCCGGGGACGGAATCGAACCGCCGACTTTTCGATGAGATGTTACCCATTACAGTCGAACGCCATGAACCAACTAGACCACCCAGAGGATGTAGAAGAGTTGACTTGGAGCGACCTACATTAGTCTATAAGCTAGACAAGGTCCAAAATCAATGCCAATGCAGCGAACCTTGCTTTCCTTCTGTTTTCTTTCCTACTTCGGTGCAGTGCAATTCCAAGCTTCATGTTGTCTTGATCCCTTCTCGGAATGCTTGTCTATTGCCCCTCTTTTTTCATTTGCTCTCTTCATGCTTCGACCAACAAACTTGTGACTAAAACAAAAACAAGTTTCTCGGTGAAAATCTCAAACTTGTTGCTTGCATGTATCTATCTTCTATGTCAAAAACGCCACTCCCCCCAACAAGAACCCTGCATGCATGCAAGCGAGCCGTAATCATGCATGTTCCGGCCAAAGACAATGAATCAATGACCTGATTCCTCCGCTGCCGAGATCCTGCGCAGCGCAATGCACCACACTATGTACAGTATCTATCTGCGTCCGGAACCTGAGCGTGGCTCCACCCGCTTTTCTCATCGTACAGCACGGCATTACGGAATAAAGAGAGGACAAGTACTTATTTAAACCAGCCCAGTGACAAGTACGATACCTGCAAGTATAGAAGTAGGTACGGACCCTTGTTGGTTCTTTAGTAGTTCCAAGTTCGGTCGTCGTCGCCGCACTCGCAGCAAAGAGTACATGTACTCATTCATGTACATACACCTGCCTGCAGGCGCGTGTTTCCTCTTTCGTGCCCGCCTTTTAGGCCATTCGGCCGATAAGTTCTGTGAAACTCTCAACTGGTCTGCAGGGAGGGTCGTACGCCACACCTCTTTTGCCTCGGGAACAGCGAGCGGCCGACTGATGGGTGTCGTCTTTCGGCCGATCTGGCGCGTGGCTACCGGCCGGCAACCCCATTGAGTAGTATCATGCGTTTGGCCGGCGTCTCTGATTTGCTCGCACGTTCACCAAGTCAGCTTTTATCTTTCTTATTTTGCTTGATTTTATATGTAGCTAGCAATTTGAGAAAATACAAAGAGAAGAGGAAGGAGAAGGGAATGCGAAGATCCTGGCATAATCCGTATGCCTTTAGTCCGCCTCGCTATCGCCGCCGATTGTAAGAGATCCCGGTTCCTTCTTTATCGCTTCAAGCATAATATCCAATCCAAATCCATAACTCCTTAGCGCCTCAGCATCGCTTTGTATGTGTAAAATCAACAGGCTTGCCCTGATAGATGCGTGTGCCGGACCAATCGATGCATATGAGACGCCGGGTTTTCTTTCCCCCGAATACAAATGTGTGTGCTCCATGTCGTAAGTGCCGGTGCAAGAAATCGGCTAGGGGAATGTTCTGGGAGCGTTGGCACGCTGAAGAAGATGCTTTCTGAGAGTGTCCAGCTCCGAGTCCAGCTCACTCATGTATTCGCGGCTTCCATAGCCTTGCCCATTCAACTTGTAACCAGATGTTCCACGCTCCTCGCTCGACTCCGTGGCTTGAGAATCACTGCTTGGAGAATATGGCTTGCTCGATCCTTGAACAGGCGGGATCGTTTCCATACCATCTTCTTCTTCGTCATCATCGTGTTCCTCCTTGACTTGGCCACTCCGAGATTTTTTAGACTTGCGACTTTTGTGACTCCCTCCCTCTCGATGCTTGCGGGAGCCTGATGGGGACAATGTTTTGGGACCTTGTCGAGACTGTGGTCGGCTGAAGTCACTGCCTTGACCCAATCCAGCACTGGGGGCTGATGCGGAACCTGCCGTAGCATCATCCAAGGGAGGTTGTCCCCAGCCGTTTTCCAACTGTCTCTGGAGCCCTGATTCTTTCAATATCTCGTAGAATCTCGAGGCCATATGGCAAGACCCTGGATCCATGTCTGACTCAATGGATTGTTCGCTGGACCTCTGAGGCGTCGATCCCCTGAACGAAGAGTTTGAGTATAAACCCCTGGAATCTATCAAGCAAGTTAGATGACCGAACTTGGAGGCTCTTATACAGTATACACTTCCATACCCATCAATAAGACAAGGTCTGCGGAGATGTGTGCAATTTGCGCTACTGTAGGTGACGAATGGGAGAGAAGGTGATGAGGCTTGCAATCAGGGGAAAAAGAAGGGAGCAAAAGAGAAAAGCAACGGAAGAGGAAGGATTCAATATTTGACAGAGGAACCGTGATATATGAAATGTGAGATATATTGCTCATTCCCCACTGGAAAGGTCTAGACGATGTATATCCGATTCCAGTCGGCAATATGCAGCAAAGGCAGGAAAAAGCAGTAAGTGCCCTGTGTATGCCGGCTTTGGCAGACAGATGGAGAGGCAACGGGTGAGGAGACAAGATATATAGGTGGCAAGGGATTCGAGATGGAGGCTCTCATGGCTAAAAGGCTCGTCGTCTACTCCTACATGGAGGGTGGGCAGCCGGACCCATGTGACGGCAGCAATCAACAGGGCCTTGGCATCACAGACTGATACAGATCGATGTAGGGAAATGATATGATGGGGACACGTAAAGGCATGACAAAAGGCGTTGGGTGCCAGGCTGAGATAGATGGGTCGACAAGGAAAGGAGGGCCAACGTACATGTAATTTTGTTGGCTGGCTAGCTAATCGGGATACCGTGTGTATGTGTATCGTACACGAATTTTTCCCGTTGCAACACCTATATCGGGAGTGCGAGACACGATGTTGGGTAACAGCTCAATGGTTTGTGCTGTTTGAGACGCTCCGGATGGCTGCAGCTGTTGAAGAAGTTTGAGCGGTGTCGTTCCGGTAGGAGTTGAGATTGAAATTAGAAGTCTCAGTCTCAGTGAGTGTCTCGAGGGCCGGTGAAGCAAAGCGGAACTGGCAACCGGCGGGCGTTGGATGTTTGAGTTGACGGTTAAATCTCAGAGCCAGAAACAGAACAGGCTCAGAGAGTCAGGTAGTTATTATTAGCCAGGGGGGCCCATCGACGACGATATTACTGTAGAAGGTAATGAGGTAGGCGACTTCGGTAGGCTGGCTGGCTTCACGGTGCCGAGCGGCCATCCAAGAAGCAGACAAGATCAGCCCCAAAACGACACGAGCACGGGTGTGTACGAGTGAAGGAGAGTGTGAGAAGAGAGCTGGAGCCGTTATTGCGCGACTCTGCGAGACGCACAGGGCTATTTTTGCGAGCCATCGGCCGCACCATGGCCAACAACGCCAGATCAGACAAGGGACCGGCATGGTATGAGATGAGAGATTGAGATCCACGACCGCCTGGGCCTTATCGCCGTCCGTCTGAGCGGCCGATGCAAACGCCGGTCGGGCAGCGGGCCGGGCGGCTTTCAGTGCCATTGGCTGCTGGAGTTGCACTGAAGCAGCGGGCGAGTCGGCGACTGCAGCGGGCGAGACAGGCGGGCTCCACCACGCGCAGGCGCATCGCATTGCCGGCACACACGAAAAAGACGCCGGGGCCGACTTTGCGGCAATGGTCTGCGCCTAGCTTCATGTTCACATGCGCTGTGCTGTGCTTGTGCTGGCCTGGAGAGGCTCACGATCGACCCCAGTCACGCTGCTACGGCCCACAAGACAAGCCCCAACCGGCCGGAAGCCCACCCTGCTGAGCCGTGGTGCCAGGTTTAGGTGTTGGTTTGGGTGTTGGTTGGCAGCAGCACAGTAGACGATGCTGCTACTGCAGTAACACGAAGATTAAACGGCTCCGGTATGGAGACTGGACTGCTAGCTGGAGCACCGGTTCCATTCATCAGGCGTCGACATCGTGCGGTGGCGTCCAGAATGTTGTTGGCCGCAACTCAACTCAAGAGCTCAACTGGTCCATGTCCGCGCTGGGTGTGGACACATGTACATGTAGGGAGCACGATGGATGCATGGGCTTAGCAGCCCGGAGCAATAAATTGCACGATGCTAGCCCTACATCATGTGTGTTCCGCCGAGGGCCTTGTGCCTGGAGATGCCAGGGATTGCTGGATCAATGTTCCATGCTTTTGCACGTAATCTGGATCAGGCATGTTGCTGTGAGCGAGCGAGCACGGCTGAGGTACATGTGCGTATGCCAAGTTGCAGCACGTATCACAGGTACTCCCGCTCGTGTCTTGCCTGCTGTCAGTTGACCTCTCGCCCATCGGCCAACCAGCGCAAAAACCGACCCGGAACGCCGATGGCGATGGCGATGACAATTAACAAGCACAAGCACCGAGATGATTGTGTTGAGGTAGAGTGCCGGCAAGGTTCGCGTAATGGCCACCAGGCGGCAAGTGATACGAGTCACATAATGCTGCATGTACAGTGTTTGTTCTTTCCAATTAAATCAACCTGGAAGTCGAGCAATCAAATCGATACGATCCATGCATGCTCCGTAGAGGGTAGGTGCTATACAATGGATCTTGCCCGTTCACTCAGCCCGACGCATAGCCCTTGCCTTGTTCACCAAAAAAGAAGGAATTTGATGACGGGGGCAGTCATTCATTCAATATTGCAACACCACATACAAATCTAATCCTACACTGTATTCCTTCCATCGACCAAATAAGCACCCATGGGTAATAAACGGCTACCTACCTTGTCAGCCGATCATGAAACTCAGCATTCCTTGCCGCTGCTGCTCCCTGTAATCGACTTGAGCTCAGGTTAGCGGCTCAACTCAATTACAGACAGGGCTGCCCACTTGCCCCAGGCGGCCGCTGCCGAACAACGACGACATTGTTGGAGATTACGGAGCACATGCACCTATCCCGTACTCCGTACTGTGCTGCGCATTTCAAATTGATGAAGCTGATCCAGCCTGTGCAATCGCGTGCCGCCATCTACGCAACATTTTGCCCCTTCACATCTCCTCCGGTACTCGTACGTGGCTCTGCAGCCTAACGTACAGCCGAAAAACAAACCTATCCGGCAGATAGTCCCAGCCCGGTCTCTGTCACATCGTCCCATCGTCCCAGTCCCTATGTGAGTCGCCTCTCCGTTCACCGTCCCCCCCAGCCGATGAAGATGGAATACATGGGGACGGAGTATGTAGGTCAATGCCCCCGTCGCGGCTATCAGAGCCACATGGCCGCAGACATGGTCCGCACTCTCGGCCGACGAAACGGAAATGACGCCTTCGTGGTTAACCAACAGCGCCCGAATCCCGGGATATTAAAATTCCAAAAAAGAAAAGCACGAGAAAAAGCAGCGTGAGAAAAAAAATAAGCCAAGGGATCACAGGGGGTCTTGTACCAGGATCTTCAAGATCTTGGCCGACCCTCCACCTCAGTTCTCGCAGCTAACTGCCAACAACAACTAAAATGTCAATCACGATGCAGCCGATTCGTCGTCCAGCGCGCAACAAAACTCACCCAGGCAGGGCATAACCAACGTCCGAAGCGGCCGACTCGTCGGTCTTAAGAAATCATAGGGTCCCCAATTTAAAATGTCCGACACATCCACGCTTGCCACGCCAGTTGCCCCTGTACCTGGGCTCTGGCTACACGACCTGTAACTGGGTACGTGCCTACATGTATATCCGGCATGCCCTCATGTAGGTGACATCTAAACCATGCTCGTGCGGAGCATCTCGACGGCGCCTGTCTGCTCCTATGAACGGCCAATCCTATACACATCGTACTCTGTACACAGTACATGTACGCAACTACATTGGTAAGTACCAATCGGCGAAGATTACGGATTTAGGTGTTAATAACTTGAGCCTGATAGAAACGACATGGTAGTATCCCGTGGTGGCCATCCATGGACCGCTCTCTGTATGCTTTATAGGCCCGGAATAGGATCCCGCGGAGCCGGAAACCGTGGAGTTGGAAGGCTGTGCAAGAACTACATGTATAGTTTACGGCCCAGAGTTGTTGGCCGGAGCTTCTTGTTGTCACGAAAGAGAGGCCGATGGGAAAAGCTCCCCTTGAGTCAAGAGCTCTTTACTTCATATTCACCAACGCTGGATAAGGTACTGTGAATGGACTCAGGTGTGCTCTCAGGATGCACAAGATTCATGCCCTCCACACTCTCGGGGCATTTACACGGCCCGAAGAGAATGAAGGAGTGTGTGCTCTCCTATCTGGATAACGGGGTTTCATTGTGGACATCTTATACCTGCATGGATATAGCATATGACGCCCCAGCCTCTGCAAGAAAAGAGAATCGTAGCTTTCGCGCGCGGGTTCTTTACCGTTTTGATTCTTCAACGGCGGCGCCACTCTGAAGCCAGCGCTTCCTTGCCGAAGTACGGAGACACACACTCTCTGCCGGGCTGAAAGCACACCCCTTCGATTCTGGCTAAAGCAAACATCATGACCAACCAACAGCCCAAATCCAGCAACACTTTGTGGTGAGGACCATGAACGACAAATCTCTGGCCCAGAAAAACTCGCGTGGTACCCTTAAAGCCGGCTGGTCCGACGACACTGTCGTCACCTCGAGGCTCCCAGCAAACACACACCTTCAAGATACACATCAGCTAGCCAAACAAACATATTCCTCTAGGATTTACTCCCTTCGGTGTCCCTTCACTAACCATGCCATGCCCCCATCCTCTCTTTGGTAGCAGTGCTTATCCTGTCCAGGCTGCTGCCACACACCAATCCGTGAAGAAACTTTTGAAAACTTGAGTGAATATGACTAGGCTGCTTTGATCGATATAACTTCTTTCAGGAAATGCCACCTCCACTCCTGCTCCCCATCCTTGGGTGTGTCATCTTTCTGCCGCAGAGCGGGTATATGTCCGGCGGTATACAGTACGGAAGACGGAGCCAGAGGAGTCCCAGTCAAGGCCGAGGTCATGATACGAGGTCAGATCAATAGTATGATACAGTCGACCCCGACCACGAAGATGATGGCGACCCAACCGATGGTGTGTCTCCAGTCGGCGGCTCCGTCTGCATCTGGATTTGCATTTGCAGCTGAAGCTGCACATCTGACCCCAGCGGCATCATGGACACCCCCTGCTGCTGTTCCATGCCCACAAGCGGAGGAAGCTGCTCTCGTATGTCCGTCCGCTGGAGCGCCATTGGCGTCGGGTAAGGGCTTCTGGAGCTTGGTCTCGCCGCCGTCGGTCGGTCGAAGGGTACCTCGGGCCTCGAGAGGTCATTTCTGCAGGCGTCGAGGTTTGCCGTGGGATGGATTCGCAGGCCGCCGCACCCCTCCATCGGGGACCAATTGAACGACGAGTTGATTTCGAATGGAGCGCTGTCCGTTACCAGCAGCTTGTCCTTGACTGGGTCGCAGTACTTCATCTTTGCCGCAAAGATTTTCCCGCAGTGGGCGCAGATGGAGAGTTTAACTTCACACATGGTAAGGTCGACGTTGGCACACGCGTGTTCGGAGCAGTTGCTGAATACTATAGTTATTTAACATCAATATGATGAGTTTCAGATTAGTTGACAAAGGTTCTTCATAGCTCTTTTAAGGGGGGGAAGCCGCAGAGAGTCGTGATCTTCTCAACACCCAAGGCGTCGCATGTCCGACGCTGCGACTGGGCAAACATTGTTCAGCCTTCAAGTTTCCACTATAACCTCGACTGGTACCACCATGAGCGGCATAGAAAAGCGCATGTGGCTTGGACACCTCAACAAGGCCCTGGGGCCCATTCCGAGGCCAGAAATCCCATTCGCCCTCGTCTGGCTTGTTTAACGCCTTGCAGGGGGAGGAGAGGGGAAGCTGAACATGGGAGAGGGAGAGAAAAAAGCAAACATATTTGATCATCATGCAGCAAACCGCGCGTCCAGGTGGTTTGCTCGTTGAAGGAGGGCTCTAGGGAAAACAATTTCAAGGCTCGTACAAGAGTGACATCTGCGGCAACGCCAACGCATACAGTACAACTTTGCCGCCTGCTTGCCTGGCTCGTCTTGACTGGCTATTTAGAGAGCCGCATCAGCCTCGTGGGCCTGTAGAATTCTCCTCGTGAGCCTCGAGTTATTGGCTGCGTCGCCATCCACGGGTGCCACATATTGAGGCCAACTGTAAGCTCTTTGCTTTTTGTCCTGCATGTGCTGGCGGAATTGCGTGAATCTATGTCACATATAGTCGGCTGTAGCCTATGCTATCGCCGCTTGATTTTTTCCAAGCAAAGATTTCGGTATCGGTGATGTGTGTTTTACGGCTCTTATGATCACGAAACGCCTTTTTTTTTTTTCTTTCCCTCTATCTTCCCTCTTGGCTATTATTCGTTAACTGTTAATGATGTGCTCCACAACCCAGATGAGTGGTGTTATCGTCAGAGTTGTCAGTGAGGCCATGATAGATCTTTCAAGCGACTTGGAAGTTGCATCGCCATTTGTTGAGACGATACCGACATTAAATCCCTGGCAATCGCACTCCACTGCCATATTTTAAGATGCTCTTTTGACTAAACTTGCTTTCGTGTTTTCAAGAATCGCAACCGCCATTGAAATCACTAACCCATCGAATATCACGACGACAACTTAGAAGATGTGAACTTCATAGGGTAGGTAGGTGAAGCAATTTCAAGTGTTAGGATGGTTACGAATGGAGTAACAGTACATGCAAATAGACTCGGCGCAAGTATGGAGCCCAGGGCATTAGCGGCAGCACAAGTACCAGTACTAGTAGCGCACAAATCGTGGGGCCGAGGATTCAGGGGCGTCGCTTGCTGAGATGCTAAGCCCCACCTAGCCGCTGTTTCTGTCGAGCCTCACGAGACAACAGCTTGCCGTTTCTGCTGTGTCCAGCCAGAGCATCACTCGTTTGTTTGTCTGCCATTGCAACCGCCCACCCAATCGGATCAACATGTGCTGAACCCAGCTCGCCAGGACCCAGATCAGCCACCATGGGTCTTCTTCGCTATCTGCGCAAGGTCTACGACCTCGACACCCTCGACACGCGATTCACCTCCCCGACCTCCGTCCCCTACCAGACAGTCATTGATTCTCGCGGCGATGTGGTCATAGAGAGGGAGGCTGCGGCCAAGGCCCGAAGCTCAGCTCCGCCGTCGAAATGGTGGACGCCCGAGTTCTTCCTCTACTATCTCGTCTTCATCTTCGTGGTCCCGTACATGTTCTGGATAGCCTATGATGTGTCGAAGCGTAAGGAATCCCCAATCCGAACCCCGAGATGCGATGTACAAGACGCTAACAGCACGGGCAGCTTCTGACCCTAGATATCCCAAGTATGAACGGTACCTCTCCGACGGATGGATCCCGGGCCGAAAAATCGACAACTCCGATGCGCAATACAACACGTTCCGAGGCAACTTCCCTGTCATGACGGGCCTTTTGATATTTCACCCATTGCTGCGAAAGGGATGGGAATCTGTGTATAAGCCCTCTGCTCGAGGCAGCAGAGGCTCGACAAGACTGGATCAGCGTGCCACTTTTGACTTTGTTTTTGCCATCATCTTCATTGTCATTCTTCACGGCATATCGTCCTTCAAAATTCTCGCCATCCTCGGCATCAACTATCAGATTGCGACCAAGCTGCCCCGGCAATACATCCCCGCGGCAACATGGATCTTCAATATTAGCACATTGTTTGCTAATGAACTGACCATGGGATACAGGTTCCAGCTTATGGCCAACTGGGTTGGCCCTCCATGGGGACCGCTGGCGCATTGGGGCTATTGGCTGGATAACTGGGGAGGAATTCTCAAGCGCTGGGACATTCTTTTCAACATTACCATTCTGCGACTCATTAGTTTCAACTTGGACTACTATTGGAGCATCGACAAGCGCAACGTCAACTCTCTAGAGGTAAGCACATGGCCACATCCGCTTTCAATTGCCACTTTGCGTCTAATACACCCAAGAAGAAGGGATTGGATCCCGCCAGCCTTTCCGAGCGCGACCGAATTTCGATTCCTGCAGACATTAGAGATTTCTCGTATCGCAACTACCTGGCCTACGCATTGTATGCGCCGCTGTATATTGCTGGCCCAATCTTAACTTTCAACGACTACATTTCCCAATCCAAGTATCGCGCCGCGAGCATTGAATGGCCCCGCACTATTCGGTACGGCATTCGATTCTTACTTGTCCTCCTCTCCATGGAGCTTGTCCTACACTACGACTACGTCGGCGCAATCAGCAAAGCCGCTCCTGTGTGGAGCGACTACACCGCTGCCCAGCTCAGTCTCCTGTCCTTCTTCAACCTCCACATCATCTGGCTGAAGCTACTGCTTCCTTGGCGCATGTTCCGCCTCTGGGCCTTGGTGGATGGCATTGACCCGCCAGAGAACATGGTCCGATGCGTGAGCAACAATTACAGCACGCAGCTTTTCTGGCGCGCTTGGCATCGCTCATACAATCGCTGGCTCATCCGGTACATTTACGTCCCCCTTGGTGGCTCCTCGTTTCGTAACTGGCGGTCTTCGGCCAGGTCCGTCATCACGTACCTACTGGTTTTCACATTTGTCGCCCTTTGGCACGACATCAAACTCCGCCTGCTTATTTGGGGCTGGCTCATTGTTATTTTCATGGTGCCGGAGTGGACTGCCAGCTACTTGTTCCCGAAGAAGAAGTGGGAGAACCGGCCTACGGAGTATCGCATGCTCTGCTGCGTTGGAGCTGTGGCAAATGTGCTTATGATGATTTCTGCCAATTTGGTTGGCTTTGCAGTTGGTCTGGACGGGTTACAGAGCATTCTCAGCAGCATTCTGCATGATTGGTCAGGTACGTTGAAAACTCCAACTCTCATTGACTGTCAAACCTTGTACTAACGTGTGGACAATGTTCAGGGGTTGTCTTTATTCTCACCGCATCATCTTGTCTATTTGTCGGCATTCAAATCATGTTTGAGATTCGCGAATCGGAGAAGCGGAAGGGCATCACTATGAAGTGTTAGCGTGAATGTTGATAGAAAAGAAGTGTATGTAACATTAGAGGTAAAGCGGGCATTTTATTTTTTTCGCTCAATTAGAAGGGATAGGGAAGGGGGGTCTCTTGGGTTAGGTACACGTACATGCAGTTAGATCGGTCATATATCGCGCCGATATTAGGTAGAAGTCTACATCTAGATGAGCTGGGCTCTGTTATGATATGTTAACATGTTTTCAGTTTAGGGCATTGATGGTGACCTGACTCGACGAGCTTGCATCTAGCAACGTTTCCTTACCAGATGGGCTATGATATATAAATCCACAATGCGTGATACCGGGTGCATTTCATTGTTACAGAGCAATGTGTCGTCTAATTCAGATCTGTGGCGCACGACTTTGAACGGCATTTGGGGGAACTAAGATGAATGGGAGCTAGAGCATAACGTCTAGTACGGAGTACACTGGCTTCATATTAAACCAATGTGCAGTAATGAATGACACCTTCCTGAAAGAGCATGAACTCGAGGAAGCAATGCCGTGACAGGTGTAACCTTGAATCAAGAATACGGAGCAACTACGGGATAATCTGGAGAGATGGGAAAAGATGGCCCGAATTGCATGATGCTACCCAACGTTGGCTTTGGTTGTAAAATCTGCAGATACTATGGAGTCGAGTGGTGTAGTGATATTAGAAGACACTGTATGAGGATAGTAATAATAGCGGATATTCAAAGATAGTTGGGTATTTGAAGAATGAATCTAGTATTAGGTATTTTATCAGACTGAAAAATTCGAGCAAAAGTGAAGCCCAATATTCGCCTTCGAATTATGCAGTCTTATATTTATCTAACATATTAGTGGTTGAGACTTAGAGGTCGGGTAGATAAAAGGCGCTTCTTCTACTTCTCACCATGATGTCTCAGTCCCGTAGGCTCCAGGTCGTTGGATAAGGTGACCACTCCCTTGGATGCTTGACAGGCTCGGATGGACTAGTGACAGAAGGCCCATTTCCAATATCGGCAGACGTGAGCTAATTTCTTCATGGGACATTTCATAATCTTGCTTATGCCATCAATCAGTGCCAATTTCTAAGATGGTCAACCCCTTAGACAAGGTCAATTGACTAATGTTCCATTTCCTATGTAGTCTGGACCTGCCTACTCCGTGGGGGTTGAGAGATTGGTGCAGATGCTGAATGCCGGTTCTGGGGATGCTGCAAGGGATGCTGCATTAAACTAAATGTCACAGGAGTGTCTTTTCACTTAATAACTGATTGGATGCTATCCATTGATATTAGTTGTCTAGGGATGCAGAACGTGACAAGGCAACCGAAACAAAAGAAAATTAAATAGAAATGAAATAAAATAAAATCTACAACATCTGATCCGTGGATATTATGCACTATATTCTCTCCATTCAATACTCGTAGCTGTGTAAGTGACGCTCATCACAGCTTGCCCACATGCTTTGGTAACACAACCACTGATCGTTTCCCAACTTGCTGGATTCAGTAAGCCTGGAAGTGGACTTGCAAGCACTGACGCCACCTAGGCTTTTCCCCTTGCGCGATGATCACGGCAACTTGCAGGCCATCCACTTCTGGGCCACCGATCGTGTTGATCACTTTGATAGTGGGGGAGGTGAAGATGGGGGAAGTAACAGGGCTACAGCGTTTGGGAGGATTTGCCGGATGGCGCCGTGATGCCGGGAGTTGTACAGTAGGAGAGCTGCTGCTGTCGTGCAGATGAGAGGAGCTCATGCGGGCACCGGCACTCGTACGAGTAGTCGTAGTCTGCAACAGCTGGCAGGCCTTGATAGTCTCAGGCTTATGGCTTCTACTACTCCGTAGTCTAACGGTTGTTATTTGCTAGCCTCCCAATGGATGGGTCGATTTCTTTGTCTGTGGTAAAAAATAACCCCCCCATCGCGTAAAAAGATGCCCACTCTGCGAAATTGGAGTGGTAAAGGGTATCAATGCTAAGAAATACGTGCACAGCCTCTCTAAACTACGCTAATGGAAGAGACGGAAGAACATGAAGGCATCACCTTGCGAATTGGATGCGTGCCAAGAAAAGATGTAAATAAGACACTTGACACGACTTGAGAAACATGATTTCGATAAATGGGGGAGAAACAGACTGCGCCAGCACATAGCCGCAGTCGCGCGCATCCGCCAGCAAAGACCGAGACAACCCTCGCGCTAATGTTAATGTTGTGAGGCCGCGCTCCGAAGCCCCTGGAAATATATATGGCAACAAACTGACAGGCAGGGGAAACAAGCTTTCCATCAATCTCCGAGATTTGATGCATGGAGGGAATGAATGGCTCTCGATTAAAATAAAAAAAACGAATCCAAGAAAAAAGGGAGGAGGGGAGACAAAACAAGAACTCGCCTGTGAAAAGGACTAGGTGGCAAAGTACGGAGTAGCCAAGGCTGCTGAAATGAAGAGCCCACGGCACCCCGGCACAGGATGCGGCTAAAACTGTGAACCACTTGGAACAGTATTGGCAGATTAGTAGTAGGGCCAATAACTCAAAGAGGCGCTGAAATTGGACACATAATAGTCACGGCCGTCGGTGAAGTTGGCTCCTTGCTATGCTTGCGACGACAAGCGGGCGGCGTGTGTAGCTGCATGCAAGCTGACCACCAACTTTGGGCTCCTTTTTTTGACAGCAGATGATAAGCATCAAAATGGCTAGGATAAGTGCACGGCTGGCCTGTGGATGTACTAAATGCGCGAACAAAGAGAGGTATGTTAGTACGGATTAGATGGATAGAATATGAGTACAAGTACGTGCGTGCCGAATGTTATAGCCGTTCTGGGCCGCTTTGCTCGTATAAACGAGGTGCTGGTGGTGGTGGTTTGCCGTGCCATGTCCGGGGCCTCGTAATATCCGGGCCTTCGACGGGCCTTGCTCCGTATTCCAGGTACGATCGGAGATGGACTGACTCTACTGATATCAAATTTGCACTTCTCCTTAGCAGCCGACGAATGCTAAAAATGGCTTTGTCGATGGTGCCATCCACTCGCCTGCGCATTGTAACCCACTGCTGGGGCGAAAGACCGGAGCAGATGCAGATGCAGATGCAGCTGTGCCTGATGGAAACAGAGCGCATGTATGAACCCAGGCTGGTGTGGTGGAATCGGACCCTTCGGTATTCAGGTCCCAAGTAGGACAAGCATGTACTCGTAGTTCGAGATATCTCTGCAACCACGCGTATCGCCTTTTTGCTACAGATACGTTTACATAGGCAATTTGGGGATCGTCATTGTCTCGACCACAGAGATCGGGTTTGCTGCTGATCATCGCCTCTTGGACGAACCGACGTATCCACTGGGCCGTGTCTTGCGTGCCTGCTGGTATCGAGCTGATTGATGAATGTCTTGGCTTTAAAAATGAAAAGGCAAAGCCATTCGTTATGGGTACCTTGTAAAAATGGTAGCGATACTGCAGTCGTATCTTTGATGTTGTGCCACGCCACCAAGCCGTTTCTGCCGCTCAATTCAATGCCAATTGATAAGGTGCTGCGACTCGTAGTACAGTAGAATCATTAGCTGGTCTTCCCTTGCATCTGCTGACGAGTGCTAAATACCAGCCCTTGCATTCGAGATTTTTTTTTATTTCCCGTCCATGTCTCGGCAGGCCATCAGTGCAGAATTCAACGACTGGCGGGACACGCGCGCACACCGCTTTGGCCGGCCGGTGTGAATTCCGCCAGACAAAAAAAAAAAAAACAAAAAAACAACCCCAAAGAAAATCTTGGAAGAAAAATGACCACTCCGTCGTACTGTACATGCATCAAGGCAAATCTTACTCGTTGCTGCTACTGTGCCCCATAATGCGACTAGCACTGCTACCATCTCAGGTACGCGTGCAGTGGCGCTGCTGAGATTGAACCATCAAATCTGTCGAGCCCCATCTGGCCGTTGTCGAGCCCCCCCTGATGAGGTTGGCCGTCCATGCGAGCCGCGTCTCCCAAGCCCAAATTCGAGCTCGAGCTGCAGCACTGGCCACTTCAGGAGTCCATCATCAATCAGCAGGTATCGAAGCCTTACTCCGTACTGTACAGGCATCGACAGGCATCGGCACGGGCTCAGGCACAGACGCCGCAGCGAAACAGCTCGACCCTCGCCCATTGGCTCTTCCCTGCCCGCGGCACTAGAGCCAGGGGATCTGATGGCGGGCTCCCATCACCTTGTTCCCAATTTAGCAGTCGAGGCGCCGTTAGTGAGCGGCCAGACCTGCGCTAACAGGCGAACGGGGACGCTTTGGAGGTGGTCTGGGCTCGAGCTGCCACGGACGAGAAACACCTGGGCCTGGGTGGGCAGCAATAACATTAGCACGTTTCGTTTCTGTTTCTCGCCCTCTGGTCGCGCTCGAATCTCCTCCATAAACCATCACCAGAGGCCTGCCTTGGCTGGTTGGTTAGCCGGCCTCTTTCCATCCAACTCGCCTTTGCCGTCGTTGATTCTCCCTGGCACCAGCTGGTCAGGCAGTCTGGGACTCACATCTGTCCCGCTCTTGGCTCACGATCCCTTCATCATATCGGAATCGAGCACCAATTTTGAGCTTGCGGCTCCTCGAGCTGTCGACCCCGCCATCGTTTCTTTGTTGTACTAGGAAGGGGATATTATGGCTGTTGGTTCAATCTAAACGAAGCTCTTGACGGTGTAGATAGCGCCCCTCGACTCTCGAGACCAGCATCATCGCCATTGCATGCATCTTGAAGCTATCCCGACTTCTGCCAGTTACCTAGTACACAGCCAGGGCCCCTCGATTCCCACAGCGCTGTGCAAATCCTGATATAGCTTAATTTGGCCTCGCTGTTTTCCGTATAACGCAGTATCTGCACCACCATGACATCGACTACTCATTTGCCGCCTCTCGACTTCGACGATGGAGGACTTCGTATCGTCCTGCTCCCCGAGGTTGAGACCTTGTCGTCTCCGCTCTCCCCAGATACCCCCCGCGCCAAAGAGCCCCCTTCGAACACTACCCTAAGCTCTGCGCGGTACTCTGAAAGCGACCGACGAGCGGGAGACTCTGAGTCTGACGATGACGATCAAGGGGATGTGGACGACAACGAGTCCGACCATGGTTCCGATTCGACGCCACCGCCGCCAGCTATTCCCGTTCACCCTATTCCTGCTCTCCAGGATGCTTTTGCCGAGTCGCTACATGAGGTGATGAGTGGCATCGTGGTTGAGAAACCAAAGCTGAGGGCGCTGGACGCTCAGGGCCGCAGAGAAGCTGTGCTTGCGCAAGGCCTAGACGAGCCCGCTTTTGATGCCGAATGGAGGCTTCGACCGGGGCAGACCCAGCATGAATTGGCCAAACTTGTTGCTCAGATTTCTTTTGGCGTATATCTGATGCTCAACGGCATGGCCAATAATAATACGCAAGTGGTGACAATCCTCCAGGGCCACATTGACGAAGTGGACGAGTTTCTAGAAGTCACAATCGAAGATCTTGAGCAAGTGGAACTGGACCTAAAGAAGCGCATTGACCACTTGATGCTTCCCATGTCCAACGTCACAGTGTTTGAGCAGCTACTCGAGGACCGCAAGTTTCGGACGGAGATACTCGAGGGCAATGAAAAGATTGAGCACATTCTGGCTAGAACTAATGTGGCTATGAAGCAGTGGGACGATGACATCGAAGCCGGGCTGCAGACTAGCAACATCTTCATCAACTGGCTGAACGAACAATCCGAAGGTGCCTGGCGAGGGGACCAGCCAGATGTCATTGACATCTTTGATGCCATGAGCGGCAATGCGGAGGGATGGCTCATTGCATTTGAGAAAATCAGCGACAGTACCCATGACATCAACAGCCTCATTATCCGCCTGATGAACATAATATCCGAGATGGAAAAGAAAGCCGGTGAGGCTAGTCGGCGGACTTGGGTAAGTTGTTTCCCCTCTCGTGTTTGTTGGTCTCGATACTTTGTTGGTCTCGATAGCTGATTCAAAGTTCAGGCGAGCATCAAGCCATTCTCTGCGCCACCGATGCCCAACGCTGAGGATATCCAACCCCCAAAGCTTGAACTGAAGACTGAACTGAAGACTATACCGCATCATGCACCCTCACAATCTATTACTCAACAGAGTGTTCGAAGCGGCTCTTCAGATAAACGGCCCCCCAGCTCTATCCTTTCGGATGATGCCAGCACTATTGACTTTCCTTTGCCAGGTGGTCTACCTTTGCTTCCACCATTCCGTTCCACTCGGCATACTTCGAACACTTTTGGCATCAACAGCCCAAAGTCAGCTACCACCGCGGCTACTCCTACCCTTGATAGTCCTCAGTACACTCCGCAATCTACCGCGAATACCTTTGGCGTCACCAGCCCTCAATCAATGCACATTCACCTGCGCCAAGACTCGGTTGCGGAAACTGAAGAGAGTGAGCCAGAGACTGAGATGGCTCATAGCGATCATGGGGAAGAGCCGGTGTTCCTTCTCCAGCCCCGGACTTATACGCCGCAGCCCCCTGCGCCCTTGCCCTCGCCACTGATCAAAGATGAACTTGGCCACAACGCTCGATCGGAATCTCAGTCGACCCTGCAATCACTCCAATCCGCACCGTATACTCCGGCAAGCGCCCAGTCCATGACATGGCGAGACAGCGATATTGTGCAGAGAAGGACGTCTCTCCGCGATCGTGTATCCCAAAAAATGATTCCACCAGGGGACATTCAGATTCCACCAAGATCTCTGAAAGGCATGGAGATGTACGCTCATTCGCCTGGTACTACCACGCCTCAGACGATGAGATCTCACCAGTTTGATTCGGCGTACGAGTCTGATGCGGAACGTCATGGCCGCCATCCATCCGGTAGCTCTAGCAATATGGAAATGTCTCCCCCGCAGCTCAATGTCATACCATCACCACGATCGGACCGACAACGATATCACCCTGTTCACGCGTCGCCACATTCACCACTACAGCAGAGACCGCATACCGCCGTTGGACATGGCCAATCTATGTATATTCAGGGCGGCGGCTCGAATTTGGTACCGCCGCGCCATCTACGTAACAAACAGTCCAACGCCGGCATGAGCACTCTGAGCAAGGTGACGTCCATTAACTACGATGACGGGACGGCGCAAAGTGTACGGACCACGAAAACGGTGGACAATAAGCTCAAGAAGAAGAAGAGCGCGTTTGGATGGCTCAAGAAGGCTTTCAGCATGGACGAAGAAGAGCGGGCAGCCTATGAGCAGCGCAAGGCCATGCAGTTTGAACAGAGCTACTACAATGCTGATCCGCCAAAGTTTCTGGACGGAAGGAGGCTTCGGTGAGATGCTCGAAGCGATTTTATTTGAGCAACGCATTCTATGTGCTTTATCAGTCCACGGAATTATGAGAGCCTCGATTTAAATCTGTCTTGAAGGAGGAACAGGAAGATGAAGAAGACGACGAGCCGGACTAAGGTCGCAACAGCTACAAGGCAGGGCTGGGGACGACCACAACAACACATAATACCATTTTTATCATCATACACACTACAGAAAAGCATATCTCATACGATATACTTGAAAGGAGTTTTCTATGGGCTTATCATATTGTTATCTTTTTTGGAGAGAACACCCTTTACCCCCCTTATACATAAGATCTCACACAGGCTTATCTAGCATACTCTTTTCTTTTACATGTTATTGACGCATATCTCTCTCTTTCGAGATGTGGTAGCGGTTTACGTATCAGCGATCAAGCGATTTCCTTCACTACTTTTGTTGTATATGTCCTCTCCTCTTTCCTTTTTGTGCGTGTTTTGGTGCGTCATTCTGGGGCATTGAATATCATCATATCATGGCGACGGACCTCCCAATCTATTTTCCTTCTTGTTTTTTTGCGCTCTTTGTATACCAAAAACTCTAGCGTGGCACATGTGGCATCTTTTACAGTCTAGGGGGGAAGCAGGGCGGCACTTACTTTTTGTATGTGGAAAAAAATATTATGAATCTAATGGGAGTCTGATGAGGTCTTTTTGTTTAAGGCTCTTTTCTTTTTTTGAGATCCAAGAAGTTGCAAAAAATGTGTAATACGCTGTGATATTTTCTTGTTCTCACCAAGGCTTCGATGTACATCTATGTGCTTTCAACGTGTCTAACAATTATGCAAAGTTTTCGGCATGAGGGTTTTTAGAAATTCAATTCGGAATATGCAAAAAGAAAACGCCTTTCGTGAAGTCATTGAGTTGTAGGAAATGGTGAAGGTAAGCATCACGTTACAGAAGATATCAAGCTGATTCTCCTACGCCATAGCTCTTCACTCGGCTGAAGAAGAAGGGCTTGTCGTTTTTGAGCTGGAAATCAGCCCAGTCATCCGTCAGCTTGTTGTAGCTGCTGAAGCTCCTCCAAACGATCTTGTTGTTACGGGTGCCCTTGCCCGCGCTTCGAAGCGACAAGTCCATGCGGTACATGTACTTTGCGCCCACACCCTCCGTCTCGACGTACAAGTCTGATTCCTGCTCCTTTGGGTCCGTGTTGTCCGGATAATCCAACGCAGAGGACTGTCGCCAGCGACCTTTGAGGGCTTGATGCATCATTGCGGAAGGGAGATGGGCGTGGGGAGCCTCGCGGTGCAGCTTCAGCAGCTCAGGGGTGAGGTGATGCACGACGTCGGCGGGGGACGTTGTGGTGAGGAGGCTGATGGCGGTGCCGTCGCGGAAGAAGCGCAGGTAGCGGTAGTAGGTGACGATGAGGTAAGGGTCTCCGCCCCAGACGGCCTGGTTTGTCGCCTGACCGGTGCGGATGTAATTGACGGTGCTGATGTAGCAGCCGTTGAAGCGTATGCGAGGGCGTGTGCGGAACATGTTCTTCCACGAGGGGTAAACGGCCGTATCGTGGAGAGAAGTGGTGAGAGAGAGGGCATCGGCCAAGCGGCGCTCCTCGACCTCTCTCATGCTGACGAGGAAACCGTCCTCATCTGCCTCTTCTTGGGCTTCGAGCTGTTCCCATTCGACAGTCTTTTGCCAGTGGCGAGGCATGGAGGTGAAGCCAAACTCGGTTCCAAGACAGACGCGCCTCCAGATGCGCTGCTCAGTGGCGACAAGATAGGCGAATCGCTTGCACACGAGACTGAGGCGGGCAAAATCTCCCACATCGGCCACGGCGACGTCACCGAGAATGTGCACGAGCAGCTCATCCGGTAGGTTGGAGATTGGGCATGGAGGTGGTGGGGTGTTTTCAATGATGGGAGGCGCCCCCTCAATCTTCAACCCTGAAAAGCTGGCGATGAGCTCTTCCAAAGTCAGCGGCTGGGGTTCTTCTTCTGTGGTGGGTGGAGCCGCAGGTTTGTGTGATGCTGCTGGTGGTGCCGTTACTGCTCCTGAGGATGAAGGCGTAGCCTTGGCTGGTGCAAAACCGGTTGGGAAGTGCTTCTCACGATACGACATGTCCACTCGGTGATCCAGCTAGATGAGCAAAGTTAGCATTATCTGCATGCAATTACAGCATCCAATTCGATCTGATCTTACTCGATAGGCTTGTCTATACAGCTTCAGACTCTCCCCCATGTTGCCCTGCGCCTCCTTTTCCATGGCCTTTTCATAATGATCTAGAGCTGAGACCAAGGGCTTCTCATCGTGTTCATGTTTGCCCGGGGGGTCTGACAACAGATGCCCTGAAGAAGAGGGAGGGGGCATGGAATCAAAAGTCGGGCCATGGAGATAGTACTCATCATCTTCAACAGCTGGTAAGTGCTTCTTAGCTATTGTTGGACTTGAAGGGCCCGTCCGTCGTCTTGGTCGTGAAGTGACAGCCGGGGCAGCGGCGGTAGATGAAGATGAAGCCTCAGCCTCATGAGCTCTGGACTGCAGGTCGGAGATCCATTGCTTGCGGAAGGATTCTAGCTCCGAGTTTGCTTCACGGTCTTCTGAAGACATGTCTGTGGCGGCTGTCGCAATTCAACAAAGAACGGGTGTCCGATATGGCCGAGCGCGGGGAATTTGCGTGAGAGCAGGGCTTCCGTGCTGCGTCCGTAACAGGTTGATTGCTAATGCTGGTGTATGAACGCGCTACTAGCGGTATTCGAGTTTACAGAGACATTGATGGTGCTTGTCACGGGGGAATGGATAATGACGATGAGGCGATGATGAGACGAGGTAAAAAGAAGAGAATAGATGTAGAGAAATATTTAAATGCTGTATTTGATTGTATTTTCGTTCACGGTATTGTAAGGACCTGTAGGGAGCTGCAGAAGTCGATATGAGATGAGACATGCAATCATTCGGTCAAGGCAATGCGTCCCTGGAGTGACTCGATCGGCCTGGGCAATCTGGCATAGCGTGCTGCTAGATTACTAAGGAATTCAGTCCCCTTGACCAATGTACCCAAGTACCCAAGTACCTCATGTAGGACATGTAAGACATGGGACTCTGCAGGAACTGTTATCTAATCGCCGCTTATCAATCGCCACTGTTAGCTACAGCCAATCACAGCGCCGGGTGACATCATCGGCTACTCACGGGTCCAAGATTCATCTCCGGCTGCGGCGTGGAGGCGAGCAAGACGCCGAACAGAAAAAAAAAAATTCAATGGGGCCGGGGCAATTGAAGCGCTGCACTAGCACCGAACTCACTACTGTAAAACACCTAGCCGGCAACCTTCCTCCGCCTAGCAGCATATGTTAGCACAGCTATGACCACTCGATTCCAGGCGATTCTTGCTTCCTTCATCCTCTCGATACATCTATATTCTTATATTACGCTCAGTTTGCATTGATACCGATATCCATACGCGCATCGCATCGTTTGCTGACGCCCGAATTTACCGCTTTGCGCACGGCCCGACATCCGTCGTCTCACACTGAGCTGGTCCGAGCATCTCCGAGATATTGCTGCCACTACCAGCGCCGCTCAATTCGTGACAGGCCGAGGGCTCGGCTCCTCGCTCACGTCCCCCGCCTCCGACGGCCGGCATGGGATCCTTTTCTACGTCTGTTGTCCACAGCTCAAACAGCCAAAACTACGACAGGATAGACGGGAACCAAGTTGTCATGCCTGGCGGAGATGGAAGCGATGGCATTCCCGACATCACGGCCGGCCAGAAGATGGTGTCGGCCATGTCGGGGAGCTTGTTGACGTCGCTGCTGGGTAAGCAAGCAATCCTTTCCTTCTGGTGCACCGACTGACGCATGTGCTAATCTCATTGTCTTTGCAGTGACTCCGTTAGACGTCGTCCGCGTGAGGTTGCAGTCGCAATCATCAACGATTCCCGCCCCGACTGTCGATTTCTCCAGGCTTATGCGAACAACCACCAGCCTCACCCCCGTGCAAACCGCTGAACTTGGCGTCACAGCTTGCTGCCGTGAAGTCTTCTTTGCAGGTGGCGCGGTAGACTACTGCCTCGCCGTTCCGAGGATCGAAGGCATCACTGCACCGAGCAGCGCCGCCGCCGCCGATTGTGCGGTTCAAGAAACCCAGAAGAAGACATATCACTCGACGATTGATGGCCTGCGCAAGATTGCTCGCAACGAAGGGTTCACAACGCTATGGAGAGGCCTCTCACCCACCCTCGTCATGACGATTCCTGCCAACATCATCTACTTCACCGGCTACGATTGGCTGCGGTTTAACCCTGTGAGCCCGTTTTCTGGCTTCTCGACGGATTACGCGCCTCTTGTTGCCGGATCCATGGCTCGACTTCTTGCGGCGACGGCTGTTAGCCCTATCGAGCTCATCCGTACTCGTATGCAGGCTGCTTCTGGCGCGTCGACGACAAACCATCTGGTTGAGACTTTCAACGGAATCCGGTCCATGGTCGCCGTCCATGGTTACACTTCGCTATGGAGGGGGCTGACGCTTACCCTGTGGCGAGATGTGCCATTTTCTGGTCTCTACTGGTGGGGATATGAGTCAATCCGATCTAGAATATCGGACATTCGAGAAGAGCGCCGGGGCAGGCCATTGACCCGAGACACAATTGATGGACTCAAGCGCACGACGGCACGGCGTCGATCCCAGAGCCGGGAGAACCACACCGAGACTTTTGTCGACAGTTTTGCTGCCGGGGCTACCTCTGGCGCTCTTGCGTCGATACTGACCATGCCGTTTGACGTGGGCAAGACACGTACGCAGATCTTCCACGATGCACCACGCCGCGGCGCTGGAGGTGCACTGGCGCCTGAGGAACAGAACATGATGCGATTGTTGTTGCACATCTTCAAGACAGAGGGATTCCCTGGTCTGTGGCGAGGTTGGATCCCGCGTACCTTGAAGGTAGCACCGGCCTGTGCCATCATGATCAGCAGTTACGAAGTTGGCAAGCGAGCATTCCGAAGCGTCAATGAGCGCTCTAGAGATGAAGGCTTTTCTAGCGAGGACTGAAGGGGAGGTTGAAGCAAAGATGAAAATAAAATACTTGGGTTTTGGCTTTGACTTTGGCTTTGGCATTGGCTTTGGGGCGGAATCTTCAACGATATGCAGAGTTGGCGTTTTGTTGCTTTATACGGAGTTTGATAAAAAGGACGAAGCTGTGAGACGGCCCGTCCCTGTGGCATTTTGCTTTTCCGAGCTGGGTTTGGCGACACTCCTATTCTTGTTGGGCGACGATATGAACTACCTAGTTAGACTAAAAACTGCGTGTGTACGATATGTTTAGCGGAAGATGGCTCTGATAATAATCCATATGAATATAATTCACGTCTCCTAGAGTTGTGGTGGTGAATGTGAAGCTCTCTGATATTAATAGTGGTGAGGAATATTTAGTTAACGAGGCTGCATGCTTAGCGCAACTACCAAGGTACATCGAAGTAGAAAAAAAGAGAGAGTTTGCAGAGCAACATGATGAAACTTTGGGTTCGGTGAGAAATCTTTTAATGACTTGAAGAATTACAATCTAGATTTGGATTTAGAGTAAAGTAGACGATTGAAAGTCTTATCGATATTGGCGGAACTATTCCGAGCTGTCTTTCATTTAAATTCCAAGACACTCAAAACTCAATCAACTCACCCGTCTTATACAACCAAAAACAATGTACACCCTCAACAACATCGACCAGCACCACTTCTCCGGCCTAGAAGACGTCTACGTGCTCGAGGCGCACCGAACGACCTCGGGGCTCGCCACCGTGGCCTCGGACCAGACGCTGTCGCTCTTCAACCCGGCGCGGCTCGGGACGGGGCCTGTGGCGAGGCTCAGGACGGAGCACGGCAACGTGACGACGCTGCGGGTGTTTGACGCGGGGACTTCGGTGGTTTGCACGGCTGGCGAGAATGGGAGTGTGGGAGTGTGGGATTTGAGGCAGGGGGCGCGGGTTGCGCAGTTTACTGGTGAGTTTTTTTGAGAAGGGGGAATGAGGCTGATGAGGATGAGTATGAGGGATGAGGAATGCGGATGAGTCAAGGGGAGGAAAAGATGAGAAGGAAAGGAAATATATTTTTGCTAACCACCTTGATGAAAGCAGCCGGCCAAGCATCTATCCTGTCCATGGCTTGCAGTGCGAGCACGCAGACCATCGCCGTGGGCACCGAGCTGGAGAACCACGCAGCTACAATACACCTCTGGTAAGACAAAATACCACCGTCTTACAACCTCCTCATTCAACATATTCATCCTCTAACAAACCCTCCTCCTCCAAAAAAGGGACGTCCGCTCCAACCCCTCCCCAAAGGCAACCTACTCCGAAGTCCACAGCGACGACGTCACCTCCCTGGCCTTCCACCCGTCCCAGCCGTCGCTACTCGTCTCGGGCTCGACCGACGGCCTCGTCAGCGTCCACGACACAACCATCCTCGACGAGGACGAGCTCACCGTCCAGACGCTCAACCACAACGCCTCCATCCACGACGCTGCCTTCCTCAACAGCACGGAGCTCTTCGCGCTGTCTCATGATGAGAGCTTTGCGCTGTATGATGTTGCTGATGAGCGCGAGACGGGGGATGCGGCGCAGGACTTTGGGGATTTGAGAAAGGTGCTTGGGTGTCAGTATGTGGCGAATGTTACGACAAAGGTGGATGGTAGCGGTGCGATTCTGGGTGCAGGGGCTCAAGAGTATGTTTCCCCCCTATCGCTTTATGTAAATCCAACACTTTGATGCTTACAAAACGCCCTTAACAGCAAAGAAAACTTTGAGCTCGTCTTCCTGGCCAAGGCGGCGGATGGCTCGTGGGCTCTGGATCTCGCCAACAAGGTCGTCTTGCCGGGGGCTCACGGCAGCGAGATTGTGCGATCTTTTTGCTTCTTTGATGATGAGCAGGTTGTGTTTACGACGGGAGAGGATGGAAACGTCAAGGCGTGGAGGGCAGGTTAAACTTGCGGATATTTAGACGAGATAATACAAAATGTTTCTTTTTTGTTTGGCATTGGGTGGGGATTTTCATTTTGATTCTTTATATTATGGTAGAAGTTCCTATTTGATGGAAGTGTTTGGACACTTGGAATGGCTTATCCCTCTTTTCTTTTCTGGCATCAACAGTATATATTCAGTGTGATATACACAAGCCAAACTTGTCATGCTGTTGCCCCAACTTGATCGCGATTCGCAAGATCCTTAGTGATCTGGTCGCTATTGCATTGCATAAGATAGTAGCCAATCATGTTGATTTGACCGATTGAAGACAACATGTCTTGAACCATTCCTCCTTAGCTGCTTTCGTTCAGTGCTGGAATTCTTCCTAGACTTGGCCTCGAAATAGAGAAAACTATTTGGTTCGGGTCCATCGCTGCCGATTCATTAGGTGGATAAGGAGGGTAATGCAGGGCCATGAGAAGGCATAAATGTCACCCATCAGATGCTTCCTCCTCCAGCCTCCAATAGACATCCATCTGCTAACACAGAATCCCCCTCTTTAGCTTCAACCAAACTTGTCATGCTTGTTCTTCACTTTGATCTCCAGCAGCCGCTCATGATAGTCGCCCTCCCGCTTAGCCTTCTTGAGCATCCGCACCTCGTCCTCGTCCAACCTCCGCCCCGCCGCCTCCTCCAGCTCGCGGCGGCTAATCTTTGACTTTTCGCGCTCCTCCTTGGACGTCCTGAGGCGGGGCTTGAACCGGGCCTGCATGCGGATGCGCAGCGTCGTGTTGAAGGTGATGGAGTCGGCGTCGCCACGGACCTCGGCCGGCGGCGCATTCGGCTTGGACGATGTGGACGGCTTGATGGTGAGTAAAGTGTCGCGGAGCGTCTGGAGCTGGAAGGTTCCCGGGGTGTCTGCGGTGGCGATGATGTTGAACGATTCAAGGGGGGAGACGGCTTCTGAGGTGGCCGAGAGCAAGCCAATCTTGTCACAGGCGAGATATCTGTAATTCCGTCATTAGTTAGTACAATGTGGGGAAAGCATAGATAGCATCTAGAGATTTGATATTGATATTGCATTGTATTCGAACATACCTTCCGTGATGCCCCTTGAAGCGAAAGTTTTCGGTGCCGGCAACGCGGTTCGCTACCCAAACCTGCCTGACATCATGAGGCTCCGCGCTCGTCGGATTATTATCGACAATGTTCTCAATCGGCAGCGCAAACACCTTTCCGCTCGGGTCGCAGGCGAGGGCCGACGGCTTGTCCGTGGGCAGGACAATCATGACGGGCCCGACGACGTCGCTGACGGCATCGGCAGACACCCAACTGTCGTCGTTGGGCTGGTCCTCGTCATTGTTGTCGCGGTCCCTGTCGGTCCTGACCAACTTCTGCTGCCTGCTGGTGCTGGACTCGCCGGGCTCGTCGTCGTCGGCGCGATCCGCAGCGGCGCGCTTCCGCTTCTTGGTCTTTTTGTCGCCCTTGAAGGTCAGCGGCTTGACCATGGTAAAGTCGCGGCCAACGGGAACAATGGGGAAGCGATCAATGCGGGTTGCGTCGGGGCTGTGAGAATTGGAAGGGCGTGCGACCCGGACGAGATGCGCCGTATTGATTATTGCCTGGACGGACTCGGTAGCAATACGCGGGAGAGAGCCTTGAAGCCTTGAGCTTGTGAAGAGCTATTACTCACTGTAACATGACCTGTAGGTAGTTCTAGTAGACTAATACTGCAACTCGTACTGGAGAGGTCGGGGGCCGGCGAGCTCCATCCGCGGCTGGGGCCGTTACGTAAGCCGGCTGCTTGGAGCTCGAGCTTCCTCTGCACTTTGGCGGTTCTTTTGGCTCGTCTGTTCTTGTTTGGCGCACTCTAATTGTCTAGTCGCTGCCTCGGGACCCTCTCATTTGTCTTGCGATTTTGCTTGCCCCTCCCCCACCCAAAATAAGTCGAGAAACCGGCACAAAAAAAGTACATGTAAATGCTCTGATAATTCGCTGGAGCGTGGAGGGAGCGGAAATGGAGCCGGTGGTGGCGGGCCTTTGGGGGCGAGGATCAAGGACGACGTTTTCCCTTTTCTTAGCGACAGCCCCCTCGTACGACCCGAAGGATCAAGATCGATCCTTTTCTTCCGCATCTTATTTTTTTCTTGCCATCTTGATCACTTGCCCAGGCATTCCTCTGGTCAGCAGCTGACATCTGCCGTATCATCGCTCGTATCGTATCGTCTCAACATGGCGCCCCTGGCTCAGGCTGTGACTGTGTCTCTCAAGGACCTGCAGAATGGTATGAGATCCCAGCATGTCCATCTACTTGTTACTGCCTACTCGATATAAGTTGTCCGTCCCAGCCATACATAGCCATGAGATGGAATGGAATGGAATGGATGGAATCAAAGCCCACTCATCCACTCACAATTGCACAAGCCGGCATTGTCATTCACACGCTCACACTCTTCTTACTCACACTCTTACTCACACTCGCACTAATTCTACATGAACACACACTGTCGTTGTTCCCCTGGCTTACACACCAACCACAGGAGACGTCTCCTTTGAGACTCTGCAGCAGGCCTTTGGCCCTGACTCCCTCGGTATCCTAGTGGTCAAGGACGTTCCACAAGAGTTCGCCCAGCTGCGCCATGTCGCCCTATCATATGGATCCTATTTGGGAAACTTGCCCAAAGAGGAACTGGGTAAGTGCTTGTCTGCCTTTTCTTCTTCTTTTACTTTCAAGCCACCGAGATGGGATGGAGGGTTGTGGGAGGGCAGCCCAGGCACCTGTTTTTCTATTTCACAATGACACAAGCCGCGGAGCGCTTACCATCGCTTCTACAGACAAGTTGGAAAACGCCAAAGCAAAGTATCTCACCGGCTGGTCGCTGGGCAAGGAGACTCTCAAGAATGGCCAGGCCGACACCTTCAAGGGGTCCTACTACGCCAACTGTGCCTTTTACGTGAACCCCAGCCTGGAATGTGCTGAGCCCACGGCCGAGTTCTCACCGGAGACGTTTCCAGAGTACCTGTCGCCAAACGTCTGGCCCGCCGAGAACGTGCTTCCCGGCATGAAGCCGGCAGTGACGACTCTCTGCCGCCTCATCATCGACGTTGCCGTGCTGGTGGCGCGCGCTTGTGACCGCTTTGCCGAGCAGGAGATCCAGGGGTACCCCAAGGGCTACCTGGAGCACGTCGTCAGCACGTCCAACACCACCAAGGCGAGGCTGCTGCACTACTTCCCCCAGGGTGCGTCTGAGGCGGCGTCGACTGCGGCAGAGGGTGATGAGGACGACTGGTGCGGCACCCATCTCGACCATGGCTGCTTGACGGGACTCACGTCTGCCATGTTCATCGACGAGAAGGAGGTCAACCCGGCGGTGCCAACAGCAGACTTGACAAGCCTCAACGGCGCCTCTCTGCCTCCTCTAGAGGAGCTGCCTGCCTCACCGGACGCTGCGGCTGGCCTCTACATCAAGTCTCGAACGGGCGAGACAGTGCAGGTCAAGATCCCTCGTGACTGCATCGCGTTCCAGACGGGCGAGGCTCTGGAACGCATCACGGCTGGCAAGTTCAAGGCGGTGCCTCACTTTGTGAGGGGGGTGAGGGCCAGCGTGAGTGATGGGAGGGTAGCGAGGAATACGCTGGCCGTGTTTACGCAGCCCAACCTTGGCGAGGAGGTTGACATTGAACAGCACTTGACGTTTGGCGAGTTTGCCAGAGGCGTCGTGACGAAGAACACTGTGTCTTAGGCTGAACCCTTGGACTTAGGACATAGTAAATAGTAAATAGCTGAAATACGTTGTGACTGTGACGGGGGGGATGCTGCCTTGGCTGAAGGCAGATGGTCCTCTGGCACAAATCTCGCTGCCAATGACAAACACTCCATGTGCCCACCCATATGAGTGAGTAGGCAAGTAGGTTACCAAGTTGTTGTTTCAGCCTAGATTTCTGTCGAGCTGTTGTGCTGCACCCGTCGCTCCGGTTGTTGTCTGCGGTTGATATTGTCTACCGTCCCAAGAACAGGCCAAAGGCGTCAAAGACAATATTCGGCCAACCCGTGTCCGCCTCACCGGCTACACACAGTCACAGTCACCGTTGTGCTGCCCACCAGCGCTGCAGCCCCCCTAGGGCACGGCATCGCACTTCCTGCAGGTATGACTGCACGTTCCCGCCGCGACGGAGAGCCGCAGACCGTAATCCAATAACCTCATTTTCCCACTTTGTTTCTTGTTGGGCCTCGTGGCAATGCCGGAAGAGACTATGGGCAACCACGTGGTGGGGAGACATGGGGAGTCAAAACATTACAGGTCAAGTAGCATTTTTTCTTGCTGGGAGGATAATAATGGGCGAGCCATGTCATGTCATTCCAACCGATGGGTGCCTAAGGCTGGATCGAGGCAAAGGCGACGAAACGTACAGCCGGCCTCGTTCGGCCCCCATGCACATATTTGCGTCGACCAAGCAAAAGACGTCATTCCAAGTTCAATAGCCTGGGGGGAGTGCCGGGAGCTAGAGTCCCGATGCGGGCTAGCCGTGGCCCTGCGTCTCCCTTCAACCTCACCTGAACAGCCATGAAAAGCAGAAGAATCGTATCATCCATGGGCATTGCGTGAGTCTTTTTCCCCACCAGGCGACGGGAACGAGCGGGCGGGGCGCGGGCATGTTCAGCTGGCCGTGGCCCATGGCGCAAGGCAAGGGGATGAGGCCGCTCGTTCGCTGCCTCAGCTTCGGTGAGAGACGAGCACTTGTTCTGTTCGGTTCTGTTTGTTAGCCAATTCCAGCCGCACGGAACCGGGATGGGCGAATGGGCGATGCGAGGGCCGATGCATATACGGGTATGCGAGACCAACGGGAACGACCAACGATCAACGACCAACGAGAGACGGGAAGACGCAGCCGCGGATCGGGAAGCGGAAGCTTAGAAGTGGATTCGTTCCGTTTGCTCATGTTGTCTGCCTGGAATTGTAGGGCGATTGGGATTATGATGATGATTTCTTACTCTCAATCAATCACGTGGAGAGAGAAAAGAAAGGTTAGTCAGTTACTCAGACAGTCACCTGCTCACCTGATGAGGAATTGTAAAAGCGTAAACGCCTCAAAAACAGGGCATTGCAGTGAGAGTGTACGAGTAAGTAAGAGAGAGCGTAAGAGAAACCCATGGATACGAACGCTGTGAATGGGTTCTTCGCTTGGCATGGATTGATCTCGAAAACCCCGCGCCGCAAGACCCGGGGGTCAGCAAATCTGTCACTTGTCGCCCTCACTCTCCGTCATTCTGTCTCTGGCTTGTGCCGGACGAGTTCTTACCGGGCTGACGGACGGCCCAGCTGGGTGAGCGAGGGAGGACCAGGCCAAAAAAAGAAACGAGCGGGAGAGACAGAGACATCCATTGATAGCCAATGCATGGCATACAGGAAAACACGGCCCAGATTGGGTTATTACGGGTTACAGTTGGTTGCAAGCACAAGCACAGGGGCACCTCGCCTGTTGTCCTTCACTAAAACCAACAGCACAGCGTCTCACAGCAGCTACCAGCCCTACATACCCTCCCTCTCCACCCTCCCTCCCGCTGGCTAGTATAGCATCGCTAGGCCCAACGCGGAACAACCCCTGCTGTCGATTTCGATATATTGCTGCTAGCGTTGATGGTAGCCGCAGTAAGAAGCGAATAATGCTCGAGAGCAACCAAAGCCAGATGCAGATGCATCAACTCATGCGGCCGCCCGCCCCCACGACCGCCCGCTGTAAACGGCTCCGGGCATATCCTGGCTCTGTCTCTCTACGCTTGTGTTCGGCATCTCATTCTCACTCTCAATCTCACTCTTACTCTTCGCTCCACCAGACCAGGCGGTATAAGCGCTTCGCTGTGCTACTTCGTACTCCTACCTACTATGGAAGCTACATAACCCAGCCAGCCGGAAAACGGAAACAAGAAGAGAGTGGTAATATGAAAAAATGCCATCATAGAGGGGCAAATACGACCCGGAGCATAGAAGCACAGTCCCCTTGTGATTGGGGCTGAGGGCCGGGGGTGGTTGGAAGCCTGCAACCCTGCATTTTGGGAAGCGGCTGATGGGGGATGACGCTCGTTTTTTCTCATGGTGGGGGGTGACACAAGGACAAAAAAAAAAAAAAAAGGTCAAGTTGCCCGAAGTGAAACAAGGTGAATGCGAGTGGCGGATTGGATTGGCTAGATGCTGCTTCGTGGTTGGCTTTGATACGAGTTGACCGATCGTTATATGGGACTGGACGATGATTTTTGGGAACCAGTCGGAGAGAAAAGGGAGGGGGCGTGTGTGGATTGGAGATGTGCCTCTTGCTCGCATAACGAGAAAAATAAGAAGGAAAAAGATGCCTCGACACAAAAACGCCCGTCGATACATTCTCGTCGTTTGCCCTACTAACCGAGTATATCTGCTATTTTCAAGGATGAAAGGATACACACTGCCACCACCAATTCAACATGCCTTAGTACACAACAAGACAAACTACCGCCGTAATATGATGCATTTTCTCACTTTCAGTCACATCTTCCTCAAGTCATTCATGTCATTCGTGTCATGGAAAAAGTAAAAAAAGCGGAATGCAAGGCCAAGACTCGAAACTGAGACATTTGGCAGCCAGAAAAAGAATGTCTCAGGCCCGGATTTCTTTTTATGGCAACACGGGCAAGACATTCTAGAACTCCCGGCGTTACACGAGTGGGACAGAGATGACAATTGATGACTGCAAATCTTGTGCTTTCTGACTTACAAGCACGAGCCTCGTCTGCCCGTTTGTAAGGTGTGGCTTGGGGTTGCATCTACGTAGGTATCCATGTTATGCTGTGTTTTCTTTGTGTTGTTCCATTGAACATTTTACGGTTGTTACATGCAAAGTAGAAAAACCGAGAAAAAAAAAGGAAAGGAAAGGAAAAAAGTGAAAAAAGAAAGGAAAAATAGACCCCAAACCAAGGCCCTCTTCGGTGAAGCTGGCCGGCGGGCCATTTCCACTTTCGGCAACAGCCACTTCTTCCAGGCATCACCATCATGAACCGCCGCAAGACATTCCACCCCTGCCTCCCAGCCAAGAGAAAGATAGATAAATAAATACACCAGTCCAAAAGAAATAATAGCACCAAGAACATAAAAGGCCAATCAACGCAAGGCGGCCAATCGACTCATCCAGATCATCGGATTCCCTCTCCCTCATACGCCCCCTCCCCTACAGCCCTGTTTTGATCCTCCTCGAATCCTGCCAATGAGCAAGCCACGCTGGCCACGGCATTCTTGGGCGCACAGGCAGGGGCATCAATCACACGCCCCCCCACGTTTACAGGCCAGCCACATGGCTTCTTACTCTTTTTTTGTTGCCTTGTCTTGACTCTTGTTTATAGTCACATATCTGAGCACTTCGTTTTTTCAGCTGTACGGGTACATAGCCCTGATCATTGTATTTGCCAGGGGGGGAGGGGGAGTCTGGACACCAACACAGCTTTGACCTGAGCGTTGGGTCCGTTCATTCAGCCCCCCCTGGTCCGTATCTACTATGACGCCCGGAAAGAGAGAAGCAGAAGAGAGTAAGTCATCGAGTTAGGCAAATGTCGTCTTCCGTGAAAAGTGATGGCCGAAGGGGGGGCAGCGCTTGAGGGAACCGGGGAGGGGCATGTGGTGGAGAGGCGCAATTCAGCTTTGGGCAATGGCAGGATTCGAACCAGAGAAATCCGACGGTGGCCTCATGGCTTTTCTCTTTGGTTTATCCCACTGTGTGAGTGTGTTTGGTTCTCGTTCCCCATAGCCTCACTGGTTGGCGGGCTCCAGAGTGGTTCGTTAGATGCTAGTTTGGTCATGGATGAGTTGGGGCTGTCATCTGGGTTCCTCGAGGAGATAAATATGCAGCTGTGTTGCCACTTCATGAAGCTTCTCATCATTCATCACCATCATCAACAAACAAACAGTACAGAGTACAACACTCTCTCACTTATACAAAGTCTTCCTACACTTACAAGATGAACCGAGTTAACGTCATCCCGTCTTCTATATCTCACCACGCGGTGGGTGAGCCAGTCTTGGACGGAACCAATGTTTCGTCCCATTTCCCCTATCACTTCTTGCTGCTTTTGGTTCTCATTGCTCCTCTTGTCCACACCTACAGAGGTCACAAGAGCCGGACCGAGAGACCACTCTCCGTTCGTCTGTTCAAGATCTTGTCTCAGATGAGATACCAAGTATACTCTTTTGTCTACAATGCCGTTCTCAACTGTGCCAGACCAACACTGTCCATCAACATCTTCCCACGAAAGGTCCTTGTCACAGACCCTTCAATGGAGAGCATTCTATCAAGACATACCTCGGAGACAAGTCTTGCCAATGTCATCTTTCTCATTGGCCGTCGAGTCTTTGACTTGAGCAACGAGACCATCAATGCCATTGGATCATATGATCCTCGTCCGGTCCACGTTGGCGAGTTCTCTTCTGCAAGTAACGCCAGGGCCCTCGTCGGCCAGGTATCAACGGCTGCAAACAAGAGACTACAGAGCCAGCCTGATGTTCAAGAGACTGAGCTTGGACCATGGCTCTTTAAGTTGACAAGCTCATCTGTGGCGAGTGCCCTTTGGGGCCCGGAGAGCCCTTGGGTTGTCGACGACGAGTTCCAAACCGCCTTCATGTAAGTCTACCCTTCTTTCCTTCATTGACTTTTCAAATAACTGACATCATGATAATAGGGAAATCAGCGGTTCGCAAATGACTCTCCTCAGACCCTTTTCGAAGTACACTGCCCAGGCAGCCCACAAGGCTAGAGCTCTCATCATCAGCAAGCTCAAGTCCTTCCACTTCAACAACAGAGATTCCAGGCTTCGACAGATCGCACACAGAATCAACGCCGTTGCCTTGTCCGATACTGAGTGGGAATCTAACAAGGATTACTTCAACGTTGAGCTGCTTACATCGCTCGGCCTCTTGGTCACCCCCAGCAGCATGGCTGTCTGGATGATCCGCCATCTGTTGATGCGTCCCGATCTCCTTGCCAGAGTCGTCAAGGAGGCACGCAACCCAGACATTCTCGATGCCGAAGGCAGAATTGATGTTGCCCGCATTCGAGAGTCATTCCCCTTCTTGGCAGCATGCTTGTATGAGACGCTGCGCCTTCACATGACAGCCATCCCGCGCCTGGCAAAGACCGATCTTGACATTGCGGTGCCAAACTCGCAGCCCATTCATCTCAAGAACGGAGACCTCATCTACCTTGCCATGTCTTCCTTCAACAAGGACGAGCAGACATGGGGCTCCGATGCCAGCACCTTCTCCCCCGACAAGTTCCTCACCAACGCCGGCAGCCTCTCCGCCTCCATGGTCCGAAAGCTGCGCGTCTTTGGCGTCGCGGGCAACTTGTGCCCCGGAAGAAAGGTCGGCTTCGATACCATCTTGTTTGTGGTCGCCAATGTTCTGCGAGACTTTGACATTGAGAACCCTCGAGGAGAGGACGTGGCGTACCCTGAGCCGAGGACCGAAGATGGATTCGGCATTGGCTTTGAGCGATGCGCCAACGAGATTACAGTGAGACTCAGGAGGGTTGTCTAGAGAGGTGGGAAGGGAAGGTTGTACAAATGACTGGAAACAAAGAATGATATCATGTATTATGCTGGGAGGATTATCTGTTTTGGACTTTTCGTTTTTTTGCGATATAGAACTTTGGACGCTCTAGCGTGGGTGGATTTTTGAGAGCCTGGAGCTCGCGGAGTTTTACTGTATGATATGATACATGGATGGGAATTAGATTCTGAAATTGACTGCTGGTACTGTCAACTGATATCCCTCTGATGTTTTCACTTGTATCCCATTCCTGTGATTGAGATAAGAGGTGGTATCTTGAGTGTTGGATTACATACAAACAGCGAGAATTTGTGAAGCACACAGTCAAGAGTAAATGATATGGAAAATGAGAAATATACTGATGAAAGAAATAGTATCTCGAAGTTGTTGAAATCACGACGGTAATACAACGTGCTCGCCGTGTTGCTCTGTAATAGATGGCGGATCATTGCTCTGTAATAGATGGCGAATCATTGCTCATGTCTCGTCGGGCCGACGAAGTTGTGCAATCGCATGGAATCACGTCATCGGGCATCTTTCTTTTGACAGGCTGCCCCGCTGCTGTAAGCTGGACGAGTGCCCGAGAGCTATGGATGGATTTGACATCACCTTTGACTTATCGAGTAAAGCACCTGTAATCAATTAGTACATAGGGAAAAGTAGGTAGTAGTAGGCAGGCACATGTTATGCATTGATCGATTGGGTGAGATGGATGGAGGGGTTGAGGGGTAATTGCTTCAATGCTCCCAGCGATTTCACCATCCTGCCTGTAACTTTGCTCTTCAATACTGAGCTCTACAAAAAGCAACCAACTTCAAACTTCAAACTCTACCACTTCACATTCAATTACCTTGCATTCAATACCAACAACCCCTCATCAAATCCAAGCACACAGAAACAATGGCTGTCCCTCCCAAGTTCGCCGGCCACAAGCTCGAGTTCGCCCCTCCAACAGCTTCATCCTCCTCCGTCCCGCGCGCAACTCACACCTTTGAGCTCTTCCTCGACTACACCTGCCCCTTCTCCGCAAAAATCTTCAACACGCTCACCACCCAAGTCTTCCCCGTCGTGCGCGAGACTCCCGCCTGGGCCAACAGCCTCACCGTCGTCTTCCGCCAGCAGGTCCAGCCGTGGCACCCGTCGTCGACGCTGACCCACGAGGCTGGGCTCGCCGTCCTGCGCCTCGCCCCCGAGAAATTCTGGGCCTTTAGCGGCGAGCTGTTTGCCGCGCAAAAGGACTTCTTCGACATCAGCGTCGTCAACGAGACGCGCAACCAGACGTACCGCCGCTTGGCGAAAGTGGCCGCCAAGGTGGGCGTCAGCGAGGAGGAGGTCTACAAGCTGCTGGCCATTCCCGAGAAGGGCGGCGACGATGGCGCTTTGAATGTTGGCAATGCTGTCACCAACGACCTCAAGGTTGTCACCAAGATGAACCGCTTAGTGGGTGTTCATGTCACTCCTACTGTTGTGTTCGATGGTGTTGTTCAGGACACCAGCTCTGGCTGGACTGTAGACCAGTGGAAGGAGTTTTTCACCAAGAACATTGCGTAAATGGATGTGAAGGATCTGTCATTGTTTTAGCAATTGAAAAATGAACTCAATTCATGCTTTTGCTCTTGTGAAATGAAGATAGGACCCGTTAATGTGAGAATCCAGCTATTATTGTTCAGTAGAGCAATTACAGTAGCTCAGTAATGGAGAGTGATGCACCAAAGCTTTATCGTTATCGCAGGTGGACCAATCCGGATGCGACCACTTGACTCACAGATCATTAGCCTAGGTGCACTAACATAAAGATTCAAGCTCAGCAACTTCATTACACTTTGACTCACTTTGGTTCAATCTTATGACTAAAACTCACTACTCAACATGTTCTCCCTGAGATTGTGCAGTAAAAAGCCATTCAGCACATTCATCAGCACCTCATCACCCCCACGCCTCATTAACTGGCAGCATCTCCCCCGGACTCGCCACCTACGACAGCTCGAAGACAGATGCCTTCAACGATGCTACGCCCAAGTAGCTAAGAAGCCCATCTCAAAACCGACTCTCTCACCAGCCGAGCAGGCAAAGCAGCAGGCCAAAGCTGCCGCCGCCACTGCTGGATCTAAGCACTACGGCAAGCCTTGAAAATACAACTCATCCCCAGTCGAGGACAAAATTGCTAACGATGAATGAACACAGAGGTTGCTGAGAGATTGCTCATATATCATGCGGGCACTGGACGGATCACATTCTTGGCCATGGTCAAGGTGACGACTCTGTTTTTGGGGGCGTTTTTCACGTTTATTGTTGTGCCGGGATATGTCAAGGCCGAGAAGCCGGAGTGGGAAACTCTAGGGGGTGAGTTTGACCTCATTTCGTTTCGTTTCTTTCCGATATCCCCCAGTGAGGACATTCGAGACTGCTGAAGAAGACTTCTATGACGATCTCATCCATTTCAAGGGACCTCAGTATCGATGCTCGCTCCTCTCACTCCATCCCCATCACCCAGATGATACGAAAATGATGGTCATGACTAACTCGTCCAGTTGCCCTCTGCGGCCTTATTCCCCTATTTTTTGTGGCATACACCACATCTCCCTTCGTCTCACACATTTACATCCATCTACCTCCCGTCGCCCGCGTCAGCCGCCCAGTCCTCGAGCGCTTCATCCACGCCTTGCCCCCCTCCACCGAGTTCACTCTCACCACTATGAGCGCCATCGCAAAACCTCGCTACAGCACCATGCAGGTAGGTCACCTACGGCCGGCAAAGCGACGCTTCGGTATCGTCAACTATGTGCGAGACGCCGAGGGCGCTATTGCGGAGAACGAGACGAGGAAGTGGTACAACCTGCGGGCCATGACCAAGTTTGGCGTGCAGGAGGCTGGCGTGGAGAAGAAGAAGCTTAAGGGGAAGAAGGGCAAGGACTTGACCGAGGCGTGGATCTGGGATGTTGCCAAGAGCAAGATTGAGAAGAGGGCAGTGACAGAGAAGGCGGCATAGTTTGTCTTGGGACTCAACGGTGTGCCAATTTACGAATACATATTTTGTATGAATGGTGTTGTCTCGATATTACGACTACCTTACTTGTATTACATATCCTATCAGCGCAGAGATCTATAACGTATAACAACCAACCGCGAATCATCTCACTAGCTCTATTCTATATATATCAACAACCTACATCGCCATCTCACCTATCCACAGGAAAATCCATCAAGCCAAACGCTAGGAACAAAACAAGTAACATGCCCGTTCCCCATCAACGGGATGTGACCCGAGCTGCATACCATCGCGGACGAACCGTGCTAGCAGTAGCGTCTGGCATAGAACGATTGCAATTCCATAGCTTCGGGATTGGAAACATTCTGGAAGTTCTCGTTGAGATGCCGCGCTTGGCCTGTGCTGTTATGTCTTTGTTTCCCCGTGGTGGAAGGTAGGTAACATCGTGGGCTTTGAAAAACGAGACGGACATTGTCATACGCGTATCTCATGTATAATCTAGTCAATTACCTTTACTCCAGAGTTCACGACTCCAAAGTTCGGTAGTCTCCAAAACACAAAGATTTCACTCCATTTTGCCGCACCACGAAACAATCCCCTCGACCCCGCCAAAAAGCCAAGACATTATTCACCTCGCATCACATTAAGACACCTTCATTTCCTCACCGAACTTCACCTTGACCTCCCCAAAACAGAACAAGTCCCCCCTCCCCCAAAAATAATGAAAAATAAATGAAAAATATCGCATCCCAGCAAATCACACCACCCACACCACATCCCGGAACCAAACCCCAGTCCCTCTCACATGCTATTTTTTTCTTTCTTCTTGTTACCTCCGACACAAACCTCATAGATCCGATAGGCTCCAGAAAAATCAAGCCTCGGCATTTTTCACTCTCCCCCCCTCTCACAAAACTAAACAATGCATCTCCATCCATGCTGTCTAAATCCTCCTCCCCCCTCCTTGCTCGTTATTATCACGCATATGCATGCATATGCCGTACATTACATGTAACTCCATACACCACCTGTATTCCTTCGTACTTTCGTCCAACGACCAGTCCGGTAATTATTTAAAAAAGGGGAATGGACAATATCAGACGAATTAAAAGACAGCCCTGGCAAAAGAACACTGCAGCCGTTCCCACAGTCTAATCACATTGCATGCGTACATGTAAGTGTAATTCGTAATACTCCTCGAATACGACCAATAATCAATCATTGCCACTCTCTTCTAACACTCTCACTCCCACACCCCCTCCTTTTCCCCATCGAAAGTTTCTTTCATTTTCTTCCAGGAACATGCATCAACAGGACCAACAACAAGCCAAGAAGAGGGCAAAAAAAGATGGTCAGAATATGCCCACATAGATATAGCCTAATTAGCCCAGGTCGAGTCGAGAGAAAGCAAACGAAGCATTTGCCCCAGAATCTCCACATAGTCCTTTCTGCCCTATCAACCCCGTACTGTATGTAACAATGCTCCATACGCCGATTAATAGTTTGGAGCATGGGCCATGTGTAGGATTCTGGTAAAATCCTCGTTTGCTCGAGGCCCAGTGTGTAAACACGTACCATTGAAGGTGATTAACAATAAGATCATACAAGTCTTTTACAAAACCCATCCTACACATGTCCTAATAAGAAAAAGACAACAACAGCAGTTCTCCAAATATACCAAATATATCCTCTCTCTCTCCATAACAAAATCAAATCAAATCTTCCACCCATCTCACATTCTAATACGACTCTCACACACACACACCCTCCCCTCCCCCCCTTCATCACGGCCCCAAACTAAACGCGGCCTCGAGCAAAAAAGTTCCCCAGACCCTTCAAGAAGCTCATTTAGCGCCGCCCCTCTCTTTTCTTTCTCCCCCAGACGCCTACTCTTATCAATCTGTTGGCTGGCTCTTCTCCTCCCACCCCATGTCCCGAACCGAGGGCGTACTTGTACATATGACTGTATGCACACGTACATGCATACATACATGCAGTCTACATACGCACGGTCTGCTCTTACGCATACACATTACGAGTCCATACAGTGCTCTTGCAACAGTTCTCGGTATGTAATAGCGCCCTGCGGAACATGTACATTTATATACATATAGAGCAACAAACAAAGGTGGTACTGCTAAATATGCTTGCATCTTGCCCGGATCGCGAGGCTGGTTGGCCCTAAGCCCAACGCTCGCCACCACCACCCCCCCTTCTCCCTGCTTCAGTTCTCTCTCTCTCTACTTTAGCCTCCTTATAATATATCGTACTCGTACAGCAAGCATATTTGACCTCCGTGCTTGTACAACCTCAGAAAGATACTTCCAGCTACCTACCCACGGAACGTTCCGCCAACCCTGCTCGGCTAAACGACAACTTCGTCCTTGAGACTCCTTCCGAAACATCTCCACATCATCACCTTCGTCCCAATATATCAGCGGCGCCTCATGTAGCATCGCGTGTCCTGCTCCGTAGCATCAAAGCCTGTACGTCTCTCTCTCGTTATCTGGGCCTCAATTTGCCTTCGTACGACGGACGGTTCCAGCCGCCACTCGACATGACATGAACATCAACCCACAAGAGTCCGCTCGCCCGGCCCGTACGCCGTTAATTAACACAAGTTCGGCTTTATTTCGTTCAATTCCGCTTTCAGCCCAGCAATGCACCCCACAAGAAACTCGGTGCGTTCCCCGTGGGTCCTCAGAGTACTTCTAATAATATTACTCGTACATACATGCACACGTATCTCCAATCCTTGAAACTCCGCACCTTGATTTTGTATCCAAAACACCTCTGTAAACCATACCAAATATGTCAACATTGCCCATTGTCTTGTACATGATGCCGCTGTTCCCATAGCCAACAGAGGGCCGTGTTCGTAATAAAGATCCGTTATGCATCACCGTAAACACCAATGATATGTACTACACACACAAGCCAATCCTGCAATTCCCGAGATCCCGACAGAACCGATGATGGATGCACCAGGTAGCAAGAACTGAGAAAATGTGTGAATCGACCTGCAACACCGCCAAATTTGCCCATCATAGATTCATTAAGTCCTCCACCAGTACAGCCCGCAGGGCGTTGCTGGTTCTCAAATATTGCTTTTGTTTTGCCAGAGCGCCTCTTTCTGTTCCCGAGCCTCCCCTTGTTTTAATGTCCATCTTCACAACTTGTTGCCAAAATCCTCATTGATCGTCGTGGATGATCGCGTCCCAATAGCACGAAACCCACAACATAAGAAATGAATAAGTAATAAAAAGGGACAAAGATGAAAAGAAATTAGCCTAGCAGCTCATCTTCGTCCAGCGCATGTAAAACAAATCGAACCAAGGATGAAACAACAAAGCATGGGGAGATAACTATACATGACCATAAAGATGAAGAAGAAAGTGAAGAAAAGAGGAACCGATAAATGATATATGTCGTTATAGAACCGTCCATCGTCAATGCCGCGAATGGCGTCATGACCGTGCATGAGCCAATCGGTTGAGAACCGTCAATCGTAGTCCCTCAGTCGGAGGTCGCATCTGGATCGAGTCCTGCGCCGGAGGCTGTGGGGAGCTAGGAGCCAGAAGCCAGAGGCCATGGAGGTTCTGTCGGTTCGAGAAGGCCGCTAGCGGCGCTTCATTGCCGGCGTGGTTCCGTCGTAATCCCATCCACGTTTGAGACCGCCTTCGTATACGCTGGCCACAGACTCCTGCCACATCGCGGGCGTGACGAAATTCGGCACAGGCGCAGCCACATATTGATGTGGGGAAATGCTGTGTTGTGAGCCGGACGGCAGCGAGGAGTTTACAGCTTGAATGTCTTCAAGTGTAGGGACTTCGGGTGCACCTGAGGACGAGGCAACGTTCAGAGAACTGGCCGGGGAAACAGGGTTGGGCTCGGTATGGGCGGGCGTACCAAATGTGGTGTTCCATTGTCTAGTGACCGTGTTAGTCCATCAATCCGTGGGTGTACATTGCAAAGAATGAATACATCTCAGTCATGGTAGGGATATGTGGTGGAGGAGTGAGATTAAGGGGGGGAAGTAGAACTGGGAGATGATAGAAAGAGAGAGAGTAGAGAGAAGGGGGAGACAAAGGAAAGAAAGAAGAATTCCAAGTTCGCTGGTAGAAACCTACTCAAAAATCCTAGCCGGGTTCCAAGCTGGCTGCTCTGGCAGGGCCATATTCGGTGAAATGCCGGGACCGACTGCCTGCGGCATCATAACGAGCGACTGTGCAGATGGGGAGTCACTCTTACTGTCCAGACCGCCGGTAGAAATTGGAGGTGATATGGGATGGCTTATGTAACTGACTGTTTGATTGCCGCTCGAATCCAGTGCTTGTTCCATGGAACCAGCGCGTTGCATGCCGCGATATCCTGGGGGACTAGCACTATGAGATGGATGAGGGCTTCCGTAGGGGAAAGAGGGCTTCAGAACAAAAGGCTTCCTAACGTCAGCTGAAAAAGCCTCCCGGACGGCGTCGATCTGTCGCTGCAACTCTGGCATTGGCCACGCCTCCATCACCTTTTCCATGATTCTCATGTGGCGGGTAAAGAATTCTCGCGCATCGGTGTGGAGATCAGGGTCTGGGGAGACAATCGCGACCTAGTTTTGAGAGTTAGATTTGTGCAATATATACGGATAATAATTCTTCTTCTTTTTTCTCTCTGCGCAGAGTACAAGGGGGAGTAAAGAACTGAGCGCGGCTTACTAGATGAAGCACAATGCATGAGAGCCCAGCGTAGACAGTAAAACTGAAGCCACGCTGCATGCACTGTAGCCCCATGGTTCCAAATGAGTTGACAACAGCTTCCTGAAGGCGGCAGAGAGCACGAGCCGAATTGTAGCAAATCATCATGTGATGCTTCCATTGAGCTTCCTGGGTAGTTGGGTCTAGGAATGACAACTGAGGTCGGTGGAACAAGATCAAAGTCAGATAGTAATATGAGTGCAGGTTGCCAAGGAAAGGCGACGGTAGCCAGGGTGCAGAGCCGTCCGGAGGAAACGTAACACTAAGATCGGCAGGAAGTTCTGCCAGGAAGGCATTGAAGTGCTGGTCCATCTGCTGAAACTCGGGGTCGACTCCCCAATCCTTTCTCTTCCTTAGCCGCACATAAATGCTGGTTATTCTAGCAATGTTTCGCACGTTGCGAGCAAAGTAGGTGAAGTTGCGCGAGACGTGGTATTCGGCATCGTCTCCACCGGGAATGGGCTTTGGAACATTGAAGTCTACAGAATCGATGTCGACAGCCAAGTTGTAGCGACCTTGTGGAGTTCCCACCATGACTTCGCAAACAAAGACTGTCTGCCAGATTCGAGTTCGCAGCTGGCAGTCCGTTGGGCTATATTCGCAAGGCCGGCCCGCCTGGTGCTCCTCGTAATGCTCTTCTAGACCAAGATCCTTGGCCATTTGAACGCATTGGACAACAGTCATCCATGAGCGGTAGTAGTAACCTCGCTTCGGTGCGGCTTCTCTGGCCTTGAGAATCATCAAAAGCGCCTGGAGTGTGCTTAGGCGAGGAACATCCATGAAAGCATCGGCATGTCCTAGACTCGTGTTAGTATAAAAGGTCTCGATGTATGCTGACATTGAGTAAAATAAGGGGCAACGTACTTGATGCTAGCGCCAGCCATTGTTGGCCCTGTGCTGGTTCATCTGCTAGTCGCCCTCCAATGGCGAACAGAGCTTCGAGGATTAATGGGGAAATTGATCCCCTAGCAGTAGCCCATTGGCGGTAAAACATTGATCGGTTGAGCACCGGGACGTAAGGATGAACGTGGGTGAAGTAAAGATCGAAATAATGGATCGCAGTTCCATCATCCGGCATCAATTCAGGAGGGATTCGAATCCTGTGCCCTGGGCCGATCGAGATGGGGGGCAGGTCCAGGTCGTCATCATCCTCAACTGCCGGTTCTTCACGTCTAAAAGAGGCCTTGTTCCTTAGATATGGCGCTGTGGAGGGTTAGTCAGCGAGGTGGTATATTACAGTTTGGGGCTCGCAATTCATACCTGTTCCGATCTCATTCATCTTGAGGCCGCCCAAGAGATCCGCTAGATCCTGCTGCTGGTAAGAGTCGGCGGAATATGCACCTGGTGATGAGCCCGGCTGCGACGACTGCTGCATGGGAGGCGTTGGGAATGCATCCTGAGGGGCCACATGCTGATCTACCATGGACATTTGCGGGGGGACCGTAGTGTAGTGAAGATTGTGCTGGGGCTGTGAAGCATCGTAGGGAAGAGTTTGGAAAGAAGCTGAAGCTGCGTCGGGATAGCCGGCCTGCGGCGCATAGACGTCTTGTTCGGATTTGAGGGAAGCTTGTCCCTGCTGGTGGGATGGCATTCCCATCTGTTGAAATTGGTTCGTCGGCGGGACAAAGGCCTCGTAGGTTGTCGAATCAGTTGCGCCATCGTATCCATTTGGGCGGACGCAGTGAAGCTTGAGGCGAATGCAGGCACTGCATGGCCAAGTATTTGTGGTGGCCGCATCGCACTTGATCTTTCTTCTCCGGCAGCCTTCGCAGGCTCTCATGACTGTGGAGCAATGTCAGCAATTGTGGTCACCATGGTTCTATACGGCAGGATCCGAAGTACCTTTGAGCCGCTTATGACGGTTGTGTTCGTCAACGAAGACATAGTCTAAATTGAGCAGACGACGGTTAGTTTACGACCTTTGCCGATCTACCAGCAGTGGAAAACGGAGCTGGTGGTTCTCACTCTTCTGTGTCTCCCTCTGGGGGTATTGCTGAGGCGCAAAAGTATAGCTGTTCATGCCGACGCTCTGGGCGTTCTGGGAGTCCTGCGGCAGAATGCGACGAATGGAAGGGTCATTAGAGGCCATGACGGCAAAGGATGCGCTTTCGTGGATCGGTCGTCAAGCGGGTCGTTGCGAACGTGTACAGAGATGAATATCGGTAACGGTATAGATATAAGATATAAGGTAGGTAGGTATAGGTACGGACGTCAGGTTGGTATATAGGTAGGTATGGCAATGTGGTATTAGTATCAGCGTCGGGCTCGTGAGTTCATGTACATTAACACCGGAAAGTGGCGACCCCGGCGCCTCGGTATGTGGTCGCGCAAAGCTGCACAGCGGCCGCAGAGAGAGAATCGAAAGACTGAGAAAAACGAGACGGAAGCGGCGGCGAATTCGTCCGGCAATCCGCGAAATCAATCCAGAGTCCCAAATTCTCGGCTGGAGGCAGCGGGATTTGGCAGCGTTTGGTGTTTTTGGCAAAGTTGGAACTCTGTGGTTGACGCGGGCAGTAGCAGAAAGTACAACCTAAGTATAAACCTGAGGTATTGGATAACAGAGGGGCAGGCGCTGGCGTTGTAACTCGTAGCAGGATGCGGACTTTTGGGGTTGGCCAAGGACAAGGGCTAAATGCGTGGGTGGTACCAAACGGGACAGAACAGACAGGAGGGGCGTCTGCAACTCCAAAGACAGTGCAAGGGGGGGTGTCCAGAGAAACAAGGACAGGGGCAAGGGGCTTGGCCTGATTCTTGCCTCGAGCTGCTTGGTGCTTGGGATGCTTGGGCCCAGACTTTGCATGCGCCTGTCTCCCAGGCAGGTACTAGAAGGCTGGCGCTGACAGGGTGGGCTGCACTGGGCGTCTTTGGGGTTAGGCGGACGCCTTTAGTGCCCGCAAGACAGTGCAGCTGTGCCGTTCCAGCGGTATCTGCTCAGTGCAGTCCAGCAGCTCGCGAGGGGAGACAAGTACAGGCACACGACCTGCAGCCTGGTTGGGGCAGTGGCAGCTTGTACCTGTACGCGGTGCATTCAGAAGGATTTTTCCTTCGCCTCCCTGCCAGCTGAGGTCCATGGATGATACGGACTTGACGGACCCGAACGCAAGAGTCGGGAATCCGAATGTTACAGCAGAGGACCAAATCACAACACCTCGATCAACAGTTCTGCAGAACCCCGGTGGCCCTCCTGGAAGGGTTCTTTTGTCCTCCACGTCAATTCTTGCTTTCATACTCAAGTTGTAACCACAATCAACAGGAGGTTGTCGAGTCAGGGATGAGGGGCAACAACTCTCGACCAGTAACTGGCCGCGGAGAGAGAAGCTTCAAGGAGTCCGCGTTGCGCAACCTAGGGGTCAGGTACCAGGCAAGCAAATTGACTGGTTGATCAATCATCAGGACCATGAGACATGACATGATGATGGCCACCTATATGGATCTTGGCGCGGATTAAGCATTGGCCCGTCGAGCTCGATTCCATGGGTCTTGTGTGTGGCTAGCTCTCATAAGCAGTGACAAAACGTAATCAAGTGTCCGCATTATTCATGTAGTGTGGGACTGTCAGTTGTGGGAAGTGAAGTGCCCCAGACATCCCTATTGTTCAAGTGGCTTCAATATGTACTAATAGGTACCAGATGCAGGTACCAGACATCTACTAAATACAAAGTGAGAGGTACTATCTGCAATTGGGCCATCTATCGTTTGATGCCGAACAGCGATGCTGCGCAAGGCATTCGGGCATACAGATAGAGCGAGCGGGCGCCAAGGGCGATCGTACAATACTGATCCTTTGTGCTTCCGGACTCCAGATCTTATATCCCAGGAGCACGGAGTTCGCAGCCAGAGTCCGGCGACATAAGCATCTCACGCTCGTATTCCACAATGCGAAATGGACCACGGCGCGCTGTAATTCGCAGAGGTACGAAGCATGCTGTACGCCAAGGGCGATCACTGATATTAGGGGTGGAGTGGTGACAGTCGACATGACCGTTACTTATTCTAAGATGAGACTTGAACCATGCTGTGCTCGTAGGATGGAGCCAAAGGAGCCTCTCATCCCGCAGACTCCGGACGGGATAGCGCGAATCAACTGCTAGGTAATAAGCATCGGCCTCGCATTGTACGGAGTACGGAGTCGTTCCCCACAACTGCGCGAGGCTGCTGAGGCACATGTCAAAGGCGCACACTTGCATGCCACTCGACGGTGACAGTGGTTCGTTTCCTCGTGGTTTGTGGTTCTTCAAGTGCATGTAAGTACAGGTAGCGCGAGCGCTTGGGGCAAGTGGCTATTCGAGCTATGACAAGCGCCATGCACGAGAAATTCTATCTTCACTTCATCTCATCTTTCCAGAGGCTCTGGTTGTGCTCCTGGAATCACAGGGTCTGATATTTCTGCGAGGTTGGACGTGTAGCTTCCTTGCCCTGGCCTATGAATATCAAGGCAACTCATGCTAAAAGCCTGTTTGAGAGCCTACCACCCAGTAGGGGATACTGAAAGTGTCCAGGTGTAGTACATGGTAACCAAATGCTACACACGTTTCTTTGTACGAGCAGAAGAGAGGTCACATACGAGTATAGTAAAGAGTCCACAGTTATCACATCTCACAAGAGCTCGATGCAAAAGAAAAGGAGAGCAATATAATCTATAATGACGGACAGGGAGCGTGCGTTCCTCGTCTGCGTTCATAGGCACACGTACTCGTACGTGTAGGATGATGATGACCCGGATAATAGGCCTATCAGATTAGCCTCTTCTACTATATTGGAAAGGCATGTGCATATGCAGCAAGGGTTGTGGCTTCCAATCCGTCGAAACTGGTAGGGCTGGTAAGGGGATACTCGAGCTCCATAGTAGATGCCGTACTTGCATTTTAGTATAGTCGTCAAGTCATTGTAACTCGCAATCTGCTGCTCAGATATATCATATGTAAATGTTGGATTTGATGACCAGCAGGGCTTGCTAGCAGGACAGGGACTCGATTTGATCCTTAGAACCTGGTTCAGTGTGGCATCAGCTTCCTTTCCAGGCCCTCTTCTTTCTCTATCAGGTTTATGCATGAGGTGCCTGTCTGCATGACGACAGGGCCGAGTGATTGGTTGCACGTCCCCTCTAGCAGGGAATACCCAAGGTTCCCTGCCTCGACAAGCCTTTTGATGCTCTGCCATTCGATGCACTGACGTTGCTTGTCTTCATCCAGCCCCTCCGCCCCTCTTGACGTGCGGATACGCAGCACAGGCCTTGTTGCTTCTGCTTCTACGGCTACGACTGTACGAGTTTAGACGACTAGCCAGGCAACCGAGTGATTCCCCGCCGCGCTTGGATCTGCAGAAGCTCCCTTGCTCTTGGTGTGCTCAGATACAAGTCGAGCCCAGCCATGCGAGTGCGTCAGTTGCATCTGCCGACTTTCAAGCCACTCAACCTGCGGCCGTTGCGCGCGCACCGGCATCGTGGGTTTGGCTTTGGCGGTGTCGAGTTGCCACCTCTGCCACCCTAGGCGGAAGAGCGCCCCCCCAACTATCGCCCCCGCATAGCTTTGGCTCGTTGTCTGGGCAATCTTACAACAGGAGGGAAGCAATTGAACACGCGCGAGCTGTGTTGATGCTAACCTAGTGCTAGCAGTGGTGGTGCTACAGCAAAAGTGCTGCCTCCCTACGAAGCAGACAGGGTTTATACTTGCAGTCGTGCCATCCGCCTGTCAAGTCAGGAGCCAGGATAGGATCCAACAATCAGCGTTGCTGCTTCTCCCAACACAGGGCTAGCCCTGTCTGCCGCATCAGCAAAAGCGCGAGACAATTGAAATGGAGGTTAGGGATACTGCAGTAGTACTGTGCTACGCTGCACTGCCGTGGAGTTGGTGTTCTCCAGTACGAGTACAGTAGCACATCGCCCCCAAATGTTTGTTGATTGATTGTCTAAAGATAGCCATTCATCGTCTTTTCCTTCGGCAGTGGCCGACGGGGCTGGAGGATTTCCTCTGCCAAGCTGGACCGGCGGAAACTTCCGGCAACTTACATGGACGAGTACTTTGCTAACGACGATACGTGACACACAAGTTGCAACAGCCTCTTGGGGCTGAGCGGCACGCTGACGAGATTCGTTTCCTCCTCTTTTCCCCCCTTCATTCAGCTCGCTTAACCACCCAAGCCGAGGCATCTTGCGGCGAACACAACGTGGTACCTACGGGATATTTTGCTGCTCAAGCAAGCAGATTAGGTATTACACTAACTGTTCATGTTATCTCTTGAGCGCTTCTTAATCTAAGCGCCGATATAGAGTAGTACCCATACTACCTGTACGAGTATTACTCCGTGCTACCCTCCGAATTGCTACCAGGAAGCGTTCAACACATCGACGATATGGAGTGGGGAAGGCTGCAGAGGGCTGACCCTCGCCACGCGTCGCAGATATACGAAGGAGCGTATTACCTTACGGCCTTATTCCTCCGAGCATTATCCGCGTATAATCAACTTAGACCACATGCATTCAAGGTTCTTTCCAAGATGAACAGTTCTCTGTCAGTGCCTGTATTATTACAGGGGGAATAAACGATCTATGGTTCAGCAAACGCCTCCATTTGGAACGACTCCCACACGCAGGTAGAAACAAGCAGGCAGCCGCACTCATTACATGTGCATATTGTTACGGTTACTTTACGGCACTGAGAACAACCACGGGGATTGATTTCAGAAGCAACGTCAACCAACAGATGGTGCTGGAAGCCGCTCCAATTGGCGTGCCGGAAATGAAGCTGCTTTCATGGGAGCACGAAAATTGGCTACCTGATACCACCAATGACGAGGCTCAGGCTTCTTCGATGCCAATCTCTGCATTTTCTGCCCAATTAGGAACCTAGCGTGCCACTGTTTGCAGGACTTGGACCCGTTAATATGGGTACGGAGAGATACGTGCGCACGATATTCGGTCCTTTGGTCCGTATAATGAGACAGTGCCTTTTACTGATGCTACCACCAGCGTCCGCTTGTTGGTCATATTGCATGGGAAGGGTGTGTCCCGCCGTTCCGATTTGATAGGCAGAAGACAATGGAGCCATGGTTTGAGGCGCGGAAGGGCGGCAGAGATGAAGGGGAACTCTCCAGAGCACGCGGGAAATTTCCAAGATGGACGACCCGCTGCCTCGATGTTCCTTGAAGAGCTGGCCTGCTTCTCGAATGGGCGCAACTCTGTCCCCCAAGTCGCTCGAGGCCGCGTCCGCCCGGCCACGACTAGTGCTCCAATGAAGCTGCACATCACCCTCCCACCACCTACCAATTACGAGTACGGCAGGCATACTTGTGCAGATCACTACTGCTAGTACATACATGGCATTGTCTATGTCTGGCCTGGACGTTGCGAAGACTCGGCACTTGGAGTAAAGGGTGGTACTCGTAGGTTCAAAGCAGTTGCTGCACGGCATCGCGCTGCCCATCCCTGAGGACTGCAATGTAACTATCCACACTTCACAATCCATACTACAGTACTCCGTACAAATCATGGTTTGGGGAAAACGAGCATGGCCCGGGCGCCGTGCCGCTCGCTTTTAGGCTTTACCGTGTTACACAAGCCAATATTCGCTGCTATGGACCTACAACTTAATCCTCCCGGGACAAGATACGCTGGACTAGGGCTGGAGGAATGTCGTTGGACAAAAGGGCGAGTGAGCACGCTTCTAGCGCGGGCAGGGCTTCTAGAAAGATTTTCCAGCAACTCCGCCGTGCCGAGGCTCAGCGCCAGATGTGGCAATGGATGAGTCAAGACCCCTCCCCTCGCAAAGCAACTGAATGCAACAGTTGCAACTTGGCGCATCACCTCCTCTGACTCGCCTAAATGATTCGGCGAATGCAGCTTCAGCTTTCTCAGCAATGGCCCGACTTTTCCTTATGTCAATCTCGCATGGAGAAGATGGCAATCTTGCTAGATTGTCCTTTATGCTGGCTCAGAGCAGTCCAGACGCGAAAGTCCGCCCTTTTTCGGCCGTACTTTTTAGTATTAAGTTTTAGCTACTAAAGCGATCGCGTCATCACGGGCACAAAGTTCTGCTTGCTCAGCCAAAAGGCCACCACTAAGCCTTCGAGTACAGGTACTGGGTCGCCACAGCATGAAGGCTCATCTCGCGCTTGTCTTGTGGCGATGCGGTGTGGTAGCGAGTACATTTGGCGGTAACGAAGCACCATTTGCTCAAACATGCGGCGTCGATGCTAAACTCCCAGCTACCTCCTAGTAGGTGCTAGGCTGTGGAAGCATTCCAAACTTGGCGGTCCTCTATTCCAAAATACCGTTGCTTTCCAGACACCTTGGCTTTGCGCCATGGACAAAAGCGGTGATGGGGGACTGGAAGGGGGGGGGGGGTGTAGAAACAGCACGGCACGCAACGCTTCTCCCTCTTTGTTGCAAGGCAAGGATGGAGAGAACAAGGCAAAGATGAGAAAACAGGCTCGGTGAGCAAAGACAGCAGACGGGCCTGGGATGGGATGAGATGGACATCAATGACGAAGTATGGCGCCAGCGTGGCAGCCTCGTGCTCAAACTTCGGCCGTTTTATCGCACAGGGCACATTCCCTACCTACCTGTACGACTACTCGTACAATACCTCCATCCGTTTCTGCGAGATACGAGACGATACGACGAGGCTCATGCTTTCTTCTTTTTGCCATCATGACGAACCACTGCAGTACAGGGAGGTACCTTGTTTGAACGGGTACACGTACATGTACTTTGTATTTGGCCCAGCAGCTTAATGCGCAATGATACCATTGTCCGCGACAAAGATCCCCTGCAGTAGATCAGCGTCAAGCGCGCTTGTGCGGACAGGACAGACAACAGCAACCATCACTCTATGCCTGGACTGGCATAGCAGTAGCATGATTTTAGGAGCATGCGGCGCACAAAGGAAGGATTCAAGAGGATTTGCGGGCTCCAGTGCCTCGACTGGCGATGCGAGATAGCCCGCGATTGCCTCTTGCGGCTGCTCACAAGGAAGCCCTAGTACCGAGTTGGAACGTGTGTTGGAGCCTCCCCTTGCCGGAACTACGGATGTCGGTGCAGACCATGGCCATGGTTCCTCTCACAGTTACGGGATTCCAACTTTGGTCTGCATTAAGTCCAGGAATTCCGGGGTTCTTGGATATAATACAGCAAAGTCCACAAGTGCGTACAAGGCAGCTCCTTTACTGCATCAATATCTTAGTCTACCTTAGCTGTATCATCCAATCCAGCAGATAGAGAGGGAGGTTGTTATGTGTTCTGTTCTGAGCACGGCATCGGCAGTATCCAGATGCTCTTCAACTCTAAACTCCGAACAAAAGACAAGTACGAGTGACTACTACGTGCAGCCAGCTTAGCCCGCAAACTGCCACCCAACCCCTGTACCCTGTACATATTCCATATCGAGCAGTCACATCTCGCTAGAACAACGTGACGAAGCGAGTTGCAAAGCCCTCAACCCCAAACGCCGCATCTAGGATACCTGTACCTGTTCTGTTGTCCGTAGTAGATACGAACTTGAAGTATTCCAGCCACTCCGATCTTTGTCACCGCGGCTTTTTGACACCTGCCATTGCTCTTGTTCTCCCCCCGCTTGCTCCATTCATCACCAGCAAGACTCTGCCCCGGTTTTGCGCCGGCACGGAGGAGCGTTTCTGACCGCCCGCCAAAAAAGCCCCCCCTCATTACTAATGGTCAAACTCCGGGAAGCTTGGACTCTCGACAATCTCCATTGCCGTCCCAACTTGCCTCCACGAACACACCCCCTCGTCTCGTGCGAATACCCTGCATTGTCGCCCTGAACCGTCGGCCGATCGCCCCGCGTCAGGACCCCGAATTATTTCCTCACCAGTCTAGCTTCTGGCTTGTCCGTTGTCCAGCATTTGCAGACAGAGAGAGCCTCTCCGCACCCTGCGCACCGCATCCTCCGCTCTCTGACATTTGAAGCCGCCCATACACAGACCAAAGGCAAGATGGCTGCTGCGGCCCTGGATAACGCCAACCCGACGATTCTGAGCGCTTCTCAGCTCCCAACTCGGCAGAAACGGTCGGCTCCGCGCAATGGGCCCGACTGTAGATACTCGGACCTGATTTTTGCGAAGCCGTCGTACATGTCTCGGCCCTTCTTGCAAGACGACGACATCCGGTATCAGGATGACACAGCGGCGGCAGTGGCCTGGTCCCGCTTCGGTGCCGGCTCAGGAGCTGCTGCTGAGGTCGATTTATCGGCCGAGCCCATCGACGAGCAAGAGATCTACGGTAAGACTTACGACCCCCAAATGTTTCAACACAACTTTCGCCTACTCGGCCCTCCGTCCACCCTCTTGCTTCCTAGTTGATATGTCTTTTTGATCCGTGCGTCTACGTCTTTTTCCCCTCGGGGTGCCCAGTCGGCGTTTCAAACTGAGGACCGACGTAGCCTCCCCTGACATGCCAAACCCATTTTGTCAAAATCATGCCACCCGCTGTCAATTCTGGGGGATTTGCGTGGCTCTAGCTGCTTATTTTTGGCTTATTTGGGTTGATGCCCATGACCAACAAGGAAAATGGAGGAGAAGAAACGTCCCCTGCGCAAACGGGAATAGCGAGCTCTTACCCAAAACTTACATCTCGGGATGCCCTTGAATCTTTCTCTTCACATTACACTTGCTTTGACTCCGTATGCTGCTGGCAGGATTTGACAGTGCTAACATCCATTTCCCAGACCTTATTTCTAGCATAACGGATCCCGAACACCCCGTATCGTTGGGTCAACTGTCCGTCGTCAACCTCCCTGACATTCACATTACTCCCTCTCCGGCCCTCGGAGTGCCAAGTCCGAACACCATTGTCCAAGTCACGGTCGAGCTTACTCCCACCGTCACCCACTGCTCTCTCGCTACTGTGCTTGGGCTTGGCGTAAGGGTCCGGCTGGAGCAAGTGTTGCCTCCGAATTACCGCGTGGAAGTCATCTGCAAGGAAAACAGCCACAGCCAAGATGATCAAGTGAACAAACAGCTTAGCGACAAGGAGCGTGTCGCGGCAGCTCTGGAGAATGACTCGCTGAGGAGTGTCTTGGACAAGATGCTGGAGTCTTGCTTGGAGAATTGAGTTGCTCAATCTCGAGAGAACAAAAACCCGGCGTTCAAGGTGTTGTGGCACGCTTGGCTCAAAGCGTGCATGTTAGTGCACGGTATTTTGTACCACCACCTCTATCCAGTGCTCTTGGGCCTCAAATGGCCTATTCAACGTTTCGTGATATTGCACCCATGCACAGCATATAAGCATGGCTTTCGGGGGTGCCACCGGGGGTATCCATACCAGATTATCCTTGGACCCAAGTCTGTCAGCATCTGAGAGGCTAGATGAGAAAGCTCTGACCACAGTGAGAGTCTTTGCTCGCAGCATGGCTGTAAGAATCAGCCGCAAGAAGTAGTAGCTACTAGCAACTACTGCTGGAAGAAGCAACTACTATTGCCGGTGGCAACTACTACCGCACTGATACTCTTAAAACAATTCGAGTTGGCCAAGTTAGCTGCATGATATTCGCTGATAACCGATGGCGGTCTCAATGGTAACCGATAAAGGCGAACGCCAACACCCGCGGCGAACTGGATCGGACAATTTTTTGAGTGTTTCCCAATAACCGGACTCTATGATTCATGATTTGTCTTGTTCGTGTTTTCTTCTTTGCCCGTGGGGCCGGTGGGAGGTTGGTCGGCCGCTTGGACGTCGCGTGCCCTGACTTTTTGAGAATGATGCCTTTTTGTCAAGGTGTTATGACGTTCAGACTGCATGGGCTGGAATTGCCTAAAGGGCTGTCCTTGGTTCCATGGAGGCCGATCGCAAGCTGCCTTTTGGCTATGGAATATGGTTGCCTAGAACAAGTGTTGCAAATGAATATACGAATGAAGAATTCTCCGTCATCGGCCCAAAGCAAACGGACCGTATCCCGTGACTGCCAACCCAATGCATCCATGTATCATCATAGCCCATTGCAACCTAGGGAATGAAGCTTCGTTGATGGGCAAACAGGGGTGCCTCAGATCTGTGGAAGTCGCCGAAGTTGAATCTAGAAAGCCATCCATCGCTCAACTTGGCTGGCTTACATCAACGCCTGTAACTCTGCACGAGCTTCCCTGCAACAATCTGGAACCGCTAAATGCCGACCTGACAGCCTATTACGGCTCGATCCAATGTCATCATGCCGGCAGTAATGCTAGCACGGTACATACATACCATGCTGGGACTACCTAACCTTACAGTAAGATGCCATAAGCAGTACGCCATTTTCGACAGGTTGACAGGACTGAGTGAGCTGAGTTGAGTACAAGAACGTTTACAGTGCGAGTTGCATAGGCGGTGAACTCCGGAGAGAGAGAGAGAGAGAGAGAGCCAGACTGACTGACTGACATTGGTTGGTCCGTGACATGATTCAAGAATTGACAGGTCAAGTCATATGCAGCAGGGGGCATTGCGGCAGAAACCCGAGAAGTGAGAAAAATAACTTTTTTTTCTTTTTCTTTTTTGCACGAACTCCTGCATGAAATGGGGGGCGTAATACTACAGTACTAAGGTGCGAATTGCTGTTGGTTGTTGCTTGAGCTGCTGCATCTGCATTTGCATCTGCATATTCGTACAGTAGAATGGGAAAACTGACATTTGCAGGGGTGTACGTATGTATGTACGAGTATCTATTCGGCAGTAGTGTAAACTGTCCTCTAATAGAAAAGTCTGAACGAAACATTTCGGTCTTTTTAATTCATGCTAGGCTGGATGGCTCATGGGGTACGTGTTATCGCTGACTCGCAATCCTGCCCTTTTTTTCTCTTGGGATGCCCCCAATCCATCCTTTTCCCTTTTTTTGCGCAATGTGGAGAGCGCCCTTGTGCTTCTGCTTCTGCCGAACTGGGGGCTCAATTCTCAGATAGGATTATACCGGATCAATCAATTGGAATTGTGATAGATCCTTTCTCCCCCCTTGGGCTTTTTCATGATGGGATCACCGGCATTGTACCGGTATTGCGACGCTGCCGGATCAGGGAAAATGACGAGGAGCAGGGCTCGATTTGTGTGCTGCTTGCTAGGTAGCATCTATCTGGTCTGGGCTACCTTGCCTTGCTAGCAGGATTACGACTGTAAATTGTATACAGGAAACTAAAGCCAACGCAGAAGCAGGGCATGGGCCCCCGTTTCCATATAGCGCTGCAAAGGCGCAACAGAGGCATCGCCATTCTTCCACCAATCACGAGCAGCTAGCCAGACAAATAAAACATTATCACGATAATCATCTAATAATCTTTATCTTCATTAAGGTAGATGTGAAAAAAAATCAAAATCTAACATCTGCGCCTTGGCCGTCATATATACCAACGTATTCAACTTGCTACTCGTTGACGGCTCTTGCGTTTCCCATCTCCTCCTTTCTTCATCCTCTTTCTCCCACTTTTTGCTTCCAGTCGGTTTAATATCCCCTTCAGTACACTTTTTACCCTTCCTTAAATTATATAGCGGATATGGCAGCATAAATAGCACAGCGTGAACCAAGTCACATTTCGTGATACGGCGTAGATTCTCATCATCGTTGAAGACTCTACGCATCCCCGAGCATCCCGCTCTCCATCAGGCTCTGGTAGAATTCTGGCTCCAAGAACGTCTTGACGCTGACATCCTCGCTGAGGCCCTTGCGCCTCCTCGTCTTGAGCACAAAGTCTCTGGCCGTGGCCTGCGCAGAAGCAGGTTGAAGGGGTCTTGTGACTTGGTCTCTGTCAAGCGGATCGCCGGGCACGATGCTCCAGCTGTCAAACACCAGGCTGACCATGGAGCCACCCTGTGTTTTGATACGCAGATCCGTCTCAAAGCCAAAGCTGTCGATGACGGGGAGGAGGCCATTTACGCGATAGAGGGGTGTGCCAGCGACGGGGCCGTCGGATAGGACGTGGCCTCTGCGTCTTGCGAGCACATTGTAGACCTCCATGTAAGAGTCTTCCGGCCCGGTGACTGACACGGAGTAGACGGGCTCCATTAGACGAGGAGAAGCCATGAGGAAGGATGAGTAGCATGCTCTCCGAGAAGTGGGAATGATTTGACCACCACCACGGAAAATGGCCTCGTTGGCCAAGACTACGTCTGTGACCTTGAATTTGGTGTTACGGATGGCTGTCAACAGCTGTTAGCGAGTGGTCGCCTACACAAATATGGCGTTTGAGAATTGGGAAAACAGTTGGGACATACGCTCTTCACAGAGGGGACCTTCACGAGTGGCCCAGCTGAAACCCTGTCTGATGGACTCTTTCACGGTATTCAGCAGCTTCTTGTCGACCTGATGTAAAGAAGAGAAACAATCGTTAGCGAGCTTGTTCAAACAGAATCCCAGCCTTTCATTTAAAACTTACCTCAGTAGGCAGGGTGTCGTCCTGGAGGATATTTGGCCCCATCTCGTCAGGGCCAAATGCCCAGATACTTCTGGCCGCCAGCTTGTCCCAGCCGTGGTTTTCTTCAAAGAACTTGGCCGTTTTTCGAACTGGATCCCGTATCCTGACAGCACCCGTCTCGATATCCGTAGATATGCCCTTCTCTAGCTGCTCCGCCACCATGGTGATTTTGTTCTTCTTGTTCGGCGTGATGGCGTAGCATTTTGTCGCCGAAGTCTCCACCACAGTCTCACAGAATCTTGTTACCGGATCTGATACCTTGATATCCATGTCGGCATATAATCGCCGCAGGTCGTGCAGAACGCAGTCCATGTAGAGCTCTCCGGTTCCCAGGATGATGTGCTCGCCAGATTCTTCGACTTTTGTGTTGATGAGGGGGTATGACTTTTGGACTTTGCGTAGTCCGTCAAGCATCTTGGGGAGCTCAGAAGGGTTGATGGGCTCGACGGCCACTTTGAGAACAGATTCAGTAAAGTGAGTGACAGGCCTAAAGATGAAGGCATCTTCATCATCCTCCAGTTTAGGAGGGACGATTGTCGCAGATTTTACAATTGAGTTGTCTACGCCGCCCAGCAGTACCAAGTTGCCTGCCGGGACACCGTCCGTGGGAATGTTGTATCTTGTCTCTGCAATGAAAACTTCGGCAATGGAGGCCATTGTCATATCTTCTTCATCGTCGAGGGAATAGCCTTCGCCGAGAACTCTCACCGCAGCACCAGGTTGGGCTGTACCACTCAGAACACGACCAAACGAGTAGAAGCCCTTTGCGTCGGAGGTGTTGAAGAGCTTTGTGACGTGGACTACCAAGGGGCCGTCTTGGTTGCACGTCTTCATTGACTCCGCAACCTTTGCATCCAGAGGACCGGTGTAGTATCGCTCCAGTAACCGTTGTGCGCCCTCTGTGGGCGAGGGGATGTGCTTTACAACCATGTCGACGAAGCCCGATGAAGGACCGAAGAACTGCTCGCATACCAGCTTGAGGATGACATTTGCATCTGCCTTGTATTGTGACGGCTTCAGCTCAATGCCAAGGGAAGCCAAGACTAGTTTCAGCTGCTCGGGGCTATCGCTGATGGAGTGGGTGAAGATTTTGTAGATGGGTTCGAGAACGAAGTGGACAAAGGATCTAGCAGATCTGTCTTCTGCCGGTTTGCGGGTGAAGTTTCGCTTCTTTGGGTTATAGTAAACATCTCCCCATAGTCGCTTGGCAAACTCTTCTGCGTTGATGTCGCCAAAGGTGTCTGTGTACATCTTGGCAAAGGAGGGCAGCGTGAAGCACCATCCCATGTCTGTGCAGGCGAATAGAACGTTGCCCTTCTCAGGACTTAGTCGCCGTGAGGCTGCTTTGGTCGGGATGGTGTTGGCAATGACTGTGTTGACCTCTTCTACAACATGCTTGAGCTTGAAGTAGGCGTCCTTGGGAGGTAGCTTCAGCTCCAGGATCAATCGATCTACCTTGTTGATGATGAGAGTCAGGGGAATATCTTCTAGAACAGCGTGCTTGATGATCTGCTCAGTATTGACCTGGACACCCTCAACCACATCCACGACCAGACACACGCCGTCCACTAGTCTAGAGGCCGCTGCCACCTCATCAACAAAATTGACGTGGCCAGGGGTATCAATAATGTTGAAGAGGTGCGACTTTCCCTTGGTACTTTGGAGAACAAGACTCATGGGCGCAGCCTTGATGGAGATTCCCCGCTCTCGCTCCAACATGTGGACGTCGGTGTATCGTAGGGCCTCATCACGCTTCTTGCCGACTCTCCGCTCAAGCCTGTCGGTGATGTCATGAGTCTCTAGGACAAGCATGTCCATGAACGCCGTCTTTCCATGGTGCAGGTGGCCGGCCAGCGCAATGTTCCTTGTTTGCTCGGGGAAGTTCATCAAATCGGCCATGAACTCGCGATCGAAGTAGACGGGAGGCAGGTCGACCTCCTCGATGTTGAACTTCTTCTGCTCGACCGGCGCAATGATGGGCTCCGTTAGAGGCTGCGCATCTTCCTCTTCTACTCGCGTCTCGACGTCGGCGCCGTACACCTGCTCAGCGGTGGGGTAGTATTGCTTGTCCTCATGGAGAATGACGGCATTCGAAGGTCCATCTGCTCGGGGCGCAATCAGCCATCTGCTTTGCACGTTAAGACGTAGATCGGCCTACCATCGAGCTCCATCAGCTCTTGTCCAGTGACACTGGGCGCCCCCTCGTGCTCATCGTCGTATGTATAGTCGCCCGCCTCTTCTCCAGCCTCGGACGCTTCCTCAGACTCAACCTCCTCCCCAATGAAGTTTCCGAACCTTGGGAGCTTGTCAGCAGCGCATTCAGAGCAAATCTTGTTTTCGAAAAGAAATTAAATCTTACTCATCGTAGAGGTCATCCATTTTGTCGTCGGTCTAGTCCAAAAGCCAAGGTCAATGGCGGGCGACGAAGTCAAGATGCTCAAGACACGGGTATCGTCGCAAGTCGCGTGTACCTGCTGTACCGACCGCCTGCCTGCCTTGTACCAAAACGGGTCTCTAGCAACTTTTTTTCTGCAGGCAAAGCTGGCGGGAGCATATCACGTGGCGATATGCAAGGCTGAAGCATTATCGCATCTTATCTTATCGATATCAATAGTGTTGCTCCATTCAAATCTTAGTCATCAAGTTCGATGAACATTCAATTTTAGACGAGGTACGGAGTACTCCATACTTCGTATTGCTGCGTACCTGTGTACTCGCGCATTTCAAACCGATTCAGATTTATTCAACCCAGGGTGCAATCTACATCTTGCGTGCCTGGTTGACGGCTGTGATATGAGCGTTATCTTGATTACTGAACGTATTATTGGATCGGAAGGATTGAATAATTGTCCGCACGTCCTTTGTTAAATGACACTCTGCACGGCAGAGATGTTTCTGACAGCTTTACGGATACGGATACGGGAGGCCCTGGCTCGCATCTTCCTAGCGTAATCGCTCAGCCCAAGTGGAATTTGTCGAGATCCAGATTTCTGCGATTTCGTTCTCAATGGGGTAAAACTGATACCTATCAAAGATGGGATTTATCAGCAATCAGCAAGGGGCCGGTGTGTTGGTTTGAACTCGCATTAATATTGCTCAATATCAAAGGGGTTGAAGAGCGTTGACGGCCAAAGTAGTTGTGAATACCAACATAGGTACTGCATACATGCCCCCCTCCGAATCTCCAATTCAGGTGCCTGGGCGTTTGCTAGAATAAGGTACCAGTGGACCAGACAGCTTTGGTACTCACTGCCCAACATGGCAATTCCAGTGGAGCGGTGAGGTGCAATTCCAGCTAGTATCCAGCCAATGCTGCTTGGATGCGTGTAGAATTGGGTGCCATCGAACCATGTACTGGGTACATGTACATGTCCCTGGTGCATGGAGGGGTCCCGTCCCTCTTCCAAAGAGCCGAACAACGGCCACTAAGAAAAAAATGTGCCCCTCCGCCGTCACTCGGCATTAGGATAGGACAGGATACCAAGATACTAAGTACAGCAGCTGGTTGCACCATCTATCTGTGTCTATCTGTGTCCATTGCAAGATCCAATCCAACAGGCCCTTGTCGTCTTCGTCTTCGTCATTTCATCTCATCTCCATCCCGTCCAGCCTCGATCCTGCGATCCATAAATTTCTCACCCTCGTCCAAGCACGGCCTGTCACTCCATCACTTGGCCTTCTCTGCCTTGCAATCTGTTGGGCTGGATTGCACTAGTATATATACCCCTTTGGTCTCACGCCTCTCCCCCATTGTCAACTCTTTTCTTCTTCCCAATCCATCCCAAAGCCAGTTCAACTCAATTCAACCCATTCTTTTACTTCAATTCCTCCAAACTCCTCCAAAATGTCTGGCCTTCCCCCCGTTTACATCGTCTCAGCCGCCAGAACCCCCGTTGGTTCTTTCTTGGGGTAAGAGATTCCTGTGCCATCTAACCCCCTTTCTTGAACGCGGTTCAGCCTGATGCTGATAATTCGATCCAGTTCTCTGTCCAGCCTGAGTGCCACCCAGCTCGGTGCCGCTGCTATCAAGGGTTAGTCTGCTCTCCAGCACCGTGGCCTTTTGTACCTGATCCTAACAGCATCACAGGAGCCGTTGAGCGATCTGGCGTCAAGCCCGAAGATGTCGAGGAGGTCTTCTTCGGCAATGTCCTCTCCGCCAAGTAAGACAAACATGCCACGAACCCCACGCTCGATCAGACAGATGCTTACAGTTCCTCTTATAGCTTGGGTCAGGCTCCCGCCCGCCAGGCCGCTGTCGGTGCTGGCCTTAGCAAGAACGTCATCACCACCACCGTCAACAAGGTGTGCGCCTCTTCTCTGAAGGCCGTCATCCTCGGTGCCCAAAACATCATGCTCGGTGTCAACAACGTCGTCGTCGCTGCCGGTGCCGAATCCATGTCCAACACCCCCCACTACCTGCCCAACCTCCGCACCGGCGCCAAGTACGGCGACCAGACCCTCGTCGACGGTGTCCTCAAGGACGGTCTGACCGATACCTTCAAAAATGAGCACATGGGTCTCCAGGCCGAGCTCTGCGCAGACGAGCACAACCTCAGCCGTGAGGCTCAGGATGAATATGCCATCAACACCTACAAGAGGGCTCAGGCTGCCACTGAGGCCGGTCTCTTCAAGGAGATCGTCCCCGTTGAGGTCAGCGGTGGCCGAGGCAAGCCTCCCGTTGTCATTGACCGGGATGACGAGGTCAAGAACCTCAACGAGGCCAAGCTCAAGGCTATGCGCCCTGCCTTCAAGCCTGACGGTACCGTCACCGCCCCCAACGCGGCTCCCCTGAACGACGGTGCCGCTGCCGTTGTTCTGGTCTCTGAGGCCAAGCTCAAGGAGCTTGGACTGAAGCCCATTGCCAAGATTCTGGGCTGGGCCGACGCCGAGCGTGAGCCCGAGCGATTCACCATTGCTCCTGCTGCCGCCATCCCCAAGGCCATCAAGCACGCCGGCCTCACCCCCGAGGATGTCGACTACTACGAGATCAACGAGGCCTTCTCCGTCGTTGCCCTCGCCAACATGCAGCTCCTCAACCTCAGCCCCGAGAAGGTCAACGTCTTCGGTGGTTCAGTTGCCATCGGCCACCCCCTGGGTGCTTCTGGTGCCCGTATCCTCTCTACCCTGACCTCCGTCCTGGCAGAGAAGAAGGGTAAGATTGGCGTTGCCGGTATTTGCAACGGTGGTGGCGGCGCCTCTGCTCTGGTCATCGAGAACCTGCAGTGACTACCCACCCCTGAATCAGCTTCCGCACTGGAGGCATCAAAATTATAGCATTATGAATATATGAGTGAATAATTAAAGCGAAGTGGAAAAAGGCTTGGCTGGGCAAAGAGATATAGACCCGCCCGCAATATATACCGCCATAGACCGATATGAAATTTGGCTGGGCTGGAGTTGGATTATACATAGGAAATATTAAATGAAAAAAACAAATTATTCAAAAGTTTACACCTGCATGGCTCTTTAAGTGATGTCTAGTCTTCTAATAAGCAGATATCTAGGGGCCCCATCCCCCGAAGATACCGGATAGGTAGATAGAAACTTTTGAACTTCTCACACTACTAAGCTTACATTGCTACGACGAAACGACTCCATCTTCTTAGTAACAACCCTGCGTATCAATTGAAGCTACACTGGAGCTACATGTACAGAGTTTTCATGAGCAGAAAAAACATAACGTAACCTAAGTACAAAAGTAACATTGCATATGAGAAAATGAAAAAGCGCGCTGCAAGATGAACTACTTAGCACAGAGCCCACCCACGTTGATATCCATCCATCCCATCAACGGCGTCGAGCCAGTCCTATTTTTCGTTCGAAGTGCTCTTGCCATCCACTTCGCCTGCTGTACTTTTGTTTCCTGCAAGACATTTCTTTTTCGGTTTTGTAAAGCTTGCAGCCATTAGACGAGAGGGAAAAAAAGTAATAAAAAAGCAAAAGGAAACATAAAATCAAGAGTGCAACCCAATTCCGCTCGAAATATGCCTGCAGAGTCCTCCTTTCAAAGAGAAAAGGATAGAGGGAGAGAAAAATTGCAATGAAAAAACAAGAGCAAAAGAGTGGAGGGAGTCTGCTTCCCTGGAAACCATAACCCATGTCCCACATCCTCACTAGAAAACAGCTGGACGGATTTCCTAATCCATATCCACATCCTCATTAGAAACAGCCGGAGAAATTCCCTCGTCCATCCACTTGCGAAAGTTCTTGTTCTGCTCTTGGACTTCCTCGGGGCTCATATCCTTGGCCCACACTGGGTTGTGCACCATCTTCTCAAGAAGCTTCAGCTCGCGAAAGTTGCTGAGCGTCTTTGTAAATTTTTCGCGCTGCTCGCGCTGCTCCTTGGACTTTGGCGCTTGGTCGTAGATGAAATACTCGGAAGTACCAGGTGCCCAGATCATCTTGGAACTCTTGAGGCAAATGCTGACAGTCAGGTTCTCCTTATAAGACACAGGTTTGGGGATAGCATCCTCATCAGAGTCGGACTCTCCAGAAGGCAGATTGCGAGTGAGAACAACCTTCTGCAGCTTCGATCGAGGAACGCCTTCAGTAGGCTCGACTCGAATGAAGGAAGAGATGTAGTATTGCCACCTCTCACGCAGACGCATTTCATCCATGTAAAAGGTCGTCTCATCTCGCTGGAGCCATCGAATGGTAGCTTCTGATTTTTGAGGGAACTAGAGTCAAGCGTCAGCAGACAGAAACAAATAAATATCACATAAAGCCCCATTTTTATACAACTTACCCAGCAGATAACAAACAGGTCGCCATCCTTCACACATTTCTCAGCGAATTTTCTCGCACTGATTTCAGTCTGGTAGCTCGTTTCCTCTCTTTCTCGGTTGGCCATGTACTGCTGGATAAGATCCGGCGTCTTCTCTTTCGAGTCGAGGCTCTTGCAAGTCAGAGCCAGACGGCAGAGAGTCTTGAGCAGATCTTGAATAGTATACAGCTTCCAGCCGTTCTTCAAGTAATAGTGTCGCATGACATCCTGGTATCGGTTCTCATCAATCTCGCCAGTAATGTAGTCCTCGATAAGCTCAAGAGTCTTGGGCCAAAACTTGGCAGGCTCTTCATTGGGTTCGAAGAATGTCATGTGGTTCTCAGTGAATCCGAGATCTCTGGCAGGCTTAGGCTTGTTGAGGCGGCGAATCTCAAATGCAACGGCTTCCTTGCTGTCTTTGAGATCCAGGAGTCGCGAGTACAGCGTTTGGAAGATGCTGAAGAAAACAAACATGGTTTGGTTGCAAAAAAAGTTATACCACGGGCGAGTGAAAAAGCCATCTGCCTTGAGCTCGCCATCGGCGTCCAGGAACGCATTATCGCTGTCTCCGACCACGACTGGCTTAGGGATACTTGGCATCCATCGCTCGTTCGACACCTCGGGGACGGCAGAGTCGTCGTTAGCATCAGCCATCTCTTCTTCGTTGGCAGATCCGACCTCGGGAGTCGTCTCCTTGCTGCCAGAAGCTGCGCTGTCCTCT